ATGAATAATTCCTTTTCCAAAAGCTTCTACATTTGCAACATATAATTTACTCGGTTGAGAAAATTTTTCTTCGGAAAGTTAGATGACACGTTGCACCATTGTCAAAAAACCATTTATCAGTGTACGCTGACTCATCAATTGCAAAAACACTTGATTCCATAACAACTAGTGATTTCTTATTGTCATCGCGTAGATTGTTATTTCTTGGTTTTGCTGGAGCATTTTTGGAATTTTTAGAAGGTCTTCCATCACTGACCCACTTTCTACATTGCTTAACCCAGTGTCCAGGTTTATGGCAATAGTTGCAGTTATCAACTGGTTTTGTCCTTCTAGTGAAATCTCTTGATTTGTTGAAACTTGGCTTTTCAACATTTACAACTAAGGCGTTCTGCCTTGATGATTTATCGATTGTGTCGAAAGTCTTTATCTCTCTTTCGAAAGCACAGAGATGAGTGATTAAATCATCTATTGACTGCTTTTCTTCACCTAGCATTAGCCAACTTGATTCAAAGTTTTAGAAACTATTTGGAAGAATCTGCATCGCTTTGCATACTAATAGCAGCTCTGGCAGTTTATTTTCTCCTGATGCCTGAAGCCCACTGTTTAATTCGTTCCATAAAGTCTTCAATCTTGCAATTTGGCCGGATACATCTACATCCGCTATCCAATTGAAATCGAAAAAATTGCTACAAACTTGGAACAGTTGGTCCTTAGTTGACGCTTCAAAATTTCTTTTTAATTCCTCCCAAACTTCAAACGCTGTGTTCTTGTCCATTATCTTTTGGTATGTATCTTCTGTGACTGCATTCGCAATTACTGATTTGGCATAACTGTTTGCCTTTCTAAACAGATCTGATTTATTTTTAAAATCTTTTGCCTGTTGCTCTGTTTGGTTTTCTAGTAATTCTGGTTTCGACAACTTTCCATCAATCACATCAAGTGCGCCCTCATGGTAGTCCATGAAATCTCGAACACGACGTTTCCAATGGGCCAATCGGCTGCGCAACTTAACTGTTTTATTTGAAGCTTTGAATCCATTTCTTCCTTGTCTTTCAATTTGACCTTTTAATTAGAAGCAAAATATCGAATTTTAGAGAATGAAGAAGCACGTGTTTTTTTCTTCACTTCAGTCTTCACAAACAAAGGAATCTTCCGATATTTCTTTATTCTAAATTTTCTTGTCAAATCAATTAATTAAGAAAAACGTTATCTGGATCCCATAACCTGTTAAATGTCTTGTTACGTAGATCGTTTAATTAATTGATATACTATTGAAAGACATTAAAAGAAGAGAAACAAACTAAGCAACGTTCTTGACTTGTTTATTATCAACCGGATCAACAGAAAAGGCAAAGTGAAGTTACATACAAAGCAAAGAACATTTGGTCCAAAGAAAAATAAATGTATGTTATAAATCATAATGTTTTAATATAAAACATAAAACTTAACAGTGAGAGATGGAGTAAATTTTATCACCACTGCGTTTCATACTGGGGGTTATGTACTTTTAACTCCATGAACATCCTCTCTTTTTAAAATTCACTTGGCCATCAGAACAAACATTTTGCTCGCCACCTTCCTATTTTTACTTCCTTACAAGAACATGCTCGTCCAGTCTGCATCCAATTGGCTTCCAAACGCGTGTCACTGTTTACTATCTTTTGCAGGCTTCATAAACTTATTCTGTTGCCCATCCAACATATTCATACACCATCTTCCGTAATACAATTTGCCAACCTCATTTCAGCTGATTTCACAACAGATTTCGTCAAAAAATTATTTTTATTCATCACACTTTTTTTCAACAGTTTTTGAATTCATTAAATTATTTAGTCAAAGTTCTAGGAATATCGCTCATATATACGAATTGCTATAAAATATTTCCAAAAAAGAAAATGAATCAAAAAATTTCACACCATGTCTTCCCAGCAACGTACTAAATTCTTATCGACTTCACATCAGCGAATTCTCAGTGCATCGAACTTGAAAAAGAAAAAGCTTTTTCGAACTGCATACATTTTTATGAATCAATATTTAAATAATTCATTTAATAATTTACTGTGTTTTTTAAGAATAGCAGCTCATATAAGACGGAATTATCTACAGATCCTGACAATTAAGCTTAATAATAGTTTGCCAGTTTCTTCAAAAACTCATCCCATCCTTGTAAAATATTAAATATTATTTTACTATAATTTTTACAAATTCACTCAACGAAAACGCTGCTGAGATGGCTAAAAAATATTAAACTTCTTCACGTCTTATCGTTTGTATGGTTGATCGCTAACTCACTAACCGGTTCTGTTGATGACTTATTCAGTTTTGAATTCTTCTAAAAAGCGTGGTTTCAACACAAGCGCATTATTTAGAAGAGTGCTACAGAACTTCAAACATCTTATAATCCCTTCGTATCCACTGCACATTCGCACACACTGCACACTGCACACTGAACCCCAAAAAATGTCTTCTACTTTTTTCTAACAAGTATCCGAAAAATGTTAGGAGGAAATGAATTAATATTATTTATCCAAATAATGTAAAAAAGGCGTTCATCCAAAGACACCTCAGATCAATAACTCGCCAATAGTTTATTCATCTCAAATATTTACTTACATCCACTTGCAAATATTCCTTTCCTTTCCTTCTCTTCTATTTTCCAATCTTTTTTTTATAATAATTTTCTTCTTTGTAAATTTTTTTTCTGTTTTTATTGAATTATTTTTTTAAACATTGTAAATTTTATTTCAATTCAAATTGAATTTTCATTTTTAATTTTTCCAACTTTTGTTCTTTTGCTATGATTTTTTGATAAATAATATTTAAATATAACAAACTTTCAAATTTTGCATCACATCCTTATTATAATAATTATTATTGAAAATTGAAATTCATGAAGCCTGTGGATCTGAACTCGAATAGTTTATTGTTGAGCGATGTGATGTGCCATAATAAGGAGAGGATGGATTTTTTAAAAATGAAGTTGTTTGTTTGCTTCTTTGATATCTTGCAATTTTTTCACTGCTTGGTTTTTTGTTATTTTTTCATTTTGAACAGTTTCACTTCACTACCTGTCTTGCTTAGCATATGAAAGTTTTTCTTCAACGATAGATTTTTCACATTTACTTTTAAATTTCAATATTTTCTTTGACTTTGAATAAAAGAAATTAAATAAACAGACGGAGCAATGAGAAAAACTGGTGTGCTCAGTGGATGGAGAACTGTGTTCCTGACGCTAAGTTGAAGTTCGCCAGGTAGGCCATGCATGTTGCAACCATTTTTTTATAACACTAGTTAAGAACTTTTCTTCAATAACCCATACAAATTTTAAATTCTTCCGTTTCTAGTCTTTCCATGCTTGTAATTTTGTTTTTTTTTAACATAATTGTGGCATATGCTGCTGTGGTGTACTTGGAATGGGGTGATATTTATAATAATTTTAGTTGTAATAATTATTTCTTGCTTTGCAGGTGCTGCTCTGGATTGAAATGCGACTGTGGAAGCATCTTCTCCGTCTCCAACAAGTGCCAGTGCAAAAAGGAATCAATGTTTGGTCGTTAATAACGTGATACGAAGAAGAAAATCATTGAGATGTTATTACATTTTGACATTTGAAAATATTTAATTTGTTTTATTGAGCAATTATGGTTATGTTTTCAATTTGCGTGTTATTCAACGTATAGTAAAAATAAAAAATTGATTTGCAGAGTGTTGCACTTTGGAATGTCTATGTTTGGTTGTTTTCGCTAAAAAATGAACAAAATTAAAAAAATATTTTGAAAAATTGAGTATTCCTGTTGTAATCTGCAGTTCCATGTAAAATCACGACAAAATCAAATATTCGCAAACTTTTAAAGTCAGGTTGTTCGTTTTAGATGATTTACAATCAATCAATTATTTTCAGCAACACTAAAATATATAATTCGCCGATGGATATAGATTGTTGCAGGGCCGCATGGACTGCCACACAGTCGTCTCCAACGACTCGAAGTGATCTTGTAGTATGCCTAACACTGATGCCATGCAGATCTTACTAACGGACCACGAACGACGCGCACCTGCAACCGCAACCGACTTCAACACTACACTGACGTCGAGCGACAGATCTCTCAACCGTCGCAAAACTTTCCCTTTCCTAAATTTCCAAGTCTCAATATTTTCAAATGCAAAAATGACGATGCTTGTGAGTCCCAATTTAAGGTATAGAAACATCATGCGGCCCGGCTAATGAGGCAAAACGAAACAAGCGTTTCATTTATTACAGATTATGTATAGTGCTCAAAGACTTGGACTTAATAGACTTGTTTTAATTCCACATCATGCTCCGACAGAAAAGAAGCATTAACATTTCAAAACATTACTTTGACGGGATCTCAGAGATTGGTTAAACAAGATAATTAAAATATCGTGAAATATAAAATTTATCGAAACTCACACTACATTTAAAGTCTACCATCTACCTTCGCAGCTTCAATTTAATATTTTGGGCAAAAATTATTGTAAATTTATTATTAAAACTTGCTCTGGATGACTTTGATTTGAAATAAAAAAGACTTACTCGGACGATAATACAAATCAAATTGTTATATTTCTCATAGTGTTTAAAAAGTTTTCAGTTTTTTTTTACAAAAAACAAAAATTAAAATGATATCCGTAATTATTAATTAAGGACAAAATAATTGTATGCATATGTGTGGATTCCAAGTAATTTAAAAAATTGGGCAATTTTTTAGAGTGACAAAGCATAATATTAATTATCGAGTTAGTTCAAGCAAGCAGCATATTGAACGAACTGTGTACATGTGCGGTTATTAATGTGTCATGCATTCATAAAATTATTATTTTTTTAATATAACCACTATGTGCATGCAGTAGTTTTAAACGTTTCGTACGTTAATTTGTGCAACATGAATCATACGTAACCGTTTATAAAAACCTGACCGAAGGAGTGCTGAAGTGTTAAGCCTCTCAACAAATACTGAGCTATTCATTTTCTAACAGTTTCTGTCAGAGAGATTTTAATTCCTTATATTGTTTTAAACTTTTAATTATATTTGAGATATATTTTATACTAATAACTTGATATATTCGAAAATATTTACAGACAATTCAAAAACTAAAATTTGAACTTCAATATTCAGTTATAACCAGAAACATAGCTCGAAGAGAAAATGAGACCTTACGCTTTCAACTGTTTTAAAATGATGTTGTTACTCTTGTTCTTCATATTCTGGAGCCAACAAACTGTGAAGACTGAGCCAGCTCGTCGAAAAGTCTTCCAAAGTTGCGACCAGACGGTCTTCATCAAGTACATCACAAAAATTTGCAGCCTGGTAGCAAAGAGAAGTGTCGAAGATGAGGAGAGCTGGCTAGGGGGAAACGTTGTTAGCCCTACCATGCCAGTAGTAACTGAGTCGGTCGAACCAGTCAAGTCGAGACGCGTCAAAAGATGTTAGTATTCAATATTTTCATACATTTCATCTATGCAGTTAATTCTGCTCTCTTAACATTCATACATATGCATTTGTTTTATTATTTAATCTACCTTGTAAAAAATGTTGAATGTTAATGTTTCGTTCGTTTAACTTGAATAAGCGAAGTTTATAAACTTCGAGCTATTACACAAAATATTGCTAAGGCCGGTTCATTAGAATTAGAAAATCCAACTTAAAATGCAAAAAAATGTTAACGAACTGCAAAAGATTCGCAACAAAGACCAAAGGCGTGAGTAGCCAACCATAGCTAAAAAGCCGTAAAACTGCAAAAAAAGAACTGCTAACCATTTAGAACGAACTATTTTTTGACGTGGCAGTTAACATTTTTACCTTTCTAAAAAAATTTTCCGTTTCAACATTCGCCGTTTTGAAATATTCCAAAATGTGTTGGCACGTGTGATAAAAACTTTTTGAGGCTATTTGTTGGGGATTATTTCATTAAACGAGCCCAAAATTTTTTTCGTTTGCAAATAAAAAATAATTTTCAAACAAAATTTTTTTCACTTTAAAAAAATTAAAATTAATGTTAAACATGTTATTGTTTCCATTCACCATCATCATCGTCATTGTGACAAAGTGACGTGGTTCAACTGCAGAGAGAAGTCATTTCATAAGCTTTTCTGCGTTTTATATCGCGCGCGGTGTATGAATAAAAATGTAAGTCTTCGTGAAATAGTATGAAATAGGCGCTATACAAATGAAAAGGTTGATTTGATTGGAGGGGAATTGATTTTGTCATAACATCAAATTATTTCAAAATTTTAAAAAGTTGTTTCACTGAAAGTATCAAAAACTGTTTTGTCATTTAACAAGCTTAATCATGAATGATGATTATTTTCCAGTGGTGGAGGCATTCAAGATGTGCTGTCTGGAGGGCTGCCCCATCCGCTCCCTCCTTGAACACTGTGATGCATGAAGATAAAAAGACCCCATTCTGTATCTGAATTAAACTTTTAAAAGATTAAATTTTTCAATATTAAACCATCTTAGTTTTAAATATGTGTAAATTAATTTACAAAATATGAATATCTATCAATATCAGCATGGAAGCCTACCGTGTTGTGCAATATATGTCATTGTAAAGTAGAAATAATTATGTCAAATTATCCGTCTATTCATTTTAACCGATGGTTGTGAATTGTTGTGAGTTTCATTTTTGCTGCATCTGATCTTTTGAAAATTGATTGATTCCGATTGCTTTCAGATAAATATTTTTCCTTATTATATACATCCTTACAATTGTTATAATTTTATATAATTGTTTTTAAGTTATATCATCCATTTGTTTTTTTAATCTTTGATTTTATCTGAAAATGCTACTTTGGGCTTTTAATAAAAATGCTTGATTTTAAACAGGAATACATTAAAAAAAATATGCTGTTGTTATTATGCAAAATGTTATTTCATATATGTGAGACACAAAGATTTAAGTGGTCACAATGAAAGCTATGTTAGCTCTCACCTCACATTACATTAAAATTTAACGATACGCACTTCTGACTGATTTGAGCCAAAATGTTGTGGCTCCTCAAACAAAATGAGACGTGAAGCAAAACAATGTAAGAACTTTTAAAAAAAAAAATTGAATATAGAAAATGAGAAATAATGGAGGAACTTTGTGATTATCCAGTACAACTGTATAACCTTGTATAATCCTGTATAAACCTGTAACTAACTGTGTTTATCCAGTAGTATAAAGTTACGGCGATATTTGATGATTCAACTGCATTAAGTAATTACTAAAATTTACTATTTTAAGTATTATTTTACAGACTTGTCGAAACGTATCTCGAAAATGTTCAGTGATCTTGAAAACATTAACGAACGTTAAAATAATTACAACTAAAAACGTATCAATATTTATTATTCTATCTGGAAAAAAATTTTCATAGACATGCATCTGCAACTCTGGCTTGACGTTGTGACGATGTGCTTTGTGATGTTGCGAGCATGTGATGGTGGCTCTAACAATTAGAAAAAGACCATTTGCAATTCTTGATGTCATTTCCATCTTAATTTATCCTAATGACTGGCATATATGAACATGTAAGAACACATTTTAAACAAATGTTTGTAAGTACACAACTAACAAAGCTCAAACACGAAATTACAAAATGGATCATCATCATTTATAGCGACTGATTATTTAATTATCCTTGCCAGATGACGTCACAAACTAATTTAAGTTACTTGGAAATGTGAATATATTTTTTATTAGTACAGTTTCTTTGAAATTACTCATAAATTTGTTATATCCATCGGATATGATATGCCATCTGGTTTGATGGTTGTTGTGTGGTTCTGAGATATTTTTAAAAATTTGTTCATCTAACGAATTTTTATCTCTACGAAACATTAAAAATATTTTAATTACATTTTCAATTCATCTAAAAAAGTTCAATATCAGTGCCAATAAAATCAATTTTTTATTGTAAATGACAATGTTCTTATAATTTCGACAATTAGTTACACAAACAACGACATATCATTGCAGAAGATGTTATGTTAAACCAATGTTAACTGCAACAAGTAACAAAATATATTTTAATTATATACAAGTATGTGTGTACGTGTGTTTGTACGTGTATGTGTGTTGACAAGTGTGTGGAGAGTTTGCTTAAATTTGTTAAAGATAATAAAAAATTGTTGCAAGTTTTTTTAAAAAATATATTCGAATAAAAATTTTTCGTGGTGCATCTACGGAATTGTAGATTGAAATTACCCTAACGTATTCTTTCCATTGTAAGCTCCACAACTGCCCACACCATCAGTTTCACTAAAGTTATAGGAAAACTGATTGCCAGTGAGAACGAAATGGCGGAGATGATTCCAGATGAACGTCAACTTCAAATTCTATTTTTTCATTCCTATGTCAAAATTTCACGTTCGATCTGTTATTGCGTTGTTAATTTCTTAAGTGAAGAGTTCTCTTTCATAATCATCATCATCATCATCATCATCATCCTTGCCACTACAATCGTCGTCGTCGTCGTTGCGTCTATCAATTGAAATGAGCAGTCCACTCTCGCCATCCAGCCCTTCAATGATCTTTGATTTGTTGGGTTGTTGGAACTTTTGGAGGAGGTGATGTCTACAGTAGAGATGGTCGTGTTCTCGATTGAACAGGTCCTCATGCTGCTGTTGCTGCTGGCTGCCCTCCTGCTTGCTACGACCACTTCTTCTACTTCGCATATAAAAATAGAGAGAGAACGAAAGTATGCAGAACGTGCAGATGGTTATGAGGCAGGTTACAGAGAGGAAATATTTTCGGCTGGTTGTAGCTGTGAACGATGATGTGGGATCAACGTCAGAACTGTCTTTCCCATCTCCATACGTGCCTGAAATAATTACCCAAAACTTTTGTCTGAGTATTAAAATGAATTTACATTTTCAAAATGCTTCTTTAATAATGACATCAATTTGGTTGTATGCTTAAAACAAATTCGTTGAACAATCCGAGCGTGGTTAATATTAACGATCGACATCAACGTAATGATTAATAACTAATAAAAAAAGATAGTAACTGATAATTAATTTTCGAACAATATGCATGCAAGTTTACAAACGAGAGGTCTTAGAAGAAATTTATCTTAAAGGTGGTTTCGAGCAAGTTCTCTTTGCACCACCAATTACATTGGCTATCATTCATACACCATTTTGCGTACGATTGCTCTTGAATTCGAAGTCGACAACTGCAGCAGAGGAGCAGGCATTCTTAACCATTACACCATCTAGCGCTTGATGACATCATGCACGTGAAGTGCATTTTTTGCACTTGAAGCGAGCCACTGCAATGCAATGAAATATTCATTTCTGCTTGAAATTTTCTTCGAAAGTTTTTCCACAATGAAAAAATGGCGCTACTAAGAAAAACATCACCATCTTTATATTTGCTGATTAAAATGAAACTTTTGTTTGTTCGTCTTTAAAAATTTTCCCTATCTTTATTTTAAAACATTTTTTCAAATTTTATTTTACGCTTTTAAATTAATACATTTTCTCGCAATGTTAGTTAAATAACAGCACAAGCAAGACAGTCAATGGCTAACCACTGATATTAACGTGCTCGCCATCGTCCCTGCCACCGGGGGCGCACTTGTGCTGGCGACAAACAAGTTCCGAATCGGCCATCAACATCTCGACGACCGCTCCGTACTCATCCTCATTGCTTTCTTTTTGGAAAACATTTTCTTTTCTTTCTTTACTCGAATTTTTAGTTTCGTGATCAGTGTTGTTGTTATTGTTGTTGTGGCTGTTGTTGTTGTTGTTGTCAGCGGTGTTGTTCGGTTTGTGACATTTAATTTCAATGCTTTCACCAAAGTCTTCAGCCACGTAATGTTTATAATGATCATCATCAGGTTCGCCATTCATAGAATTAATGTCACCAATCCAACTTGGATCATCACTCATCAAATTTTGATTAAGATGTGTTTGTTCGGATGGGGTTCGGATCTTACTTCTTAATGGGGTTTCATTTGCTCCATTGGTGCTCGAGACATTTTCGTGGAATGTTTGTTCACCCAGCTGGGCTTTTGTAGGTGAGTTCGTTTGACTGGCTGTGTGGTTGACCCTTGACGTTACTAATTTCATCATACGGCTGCTCTTCGAACTGTTTCTAAGATTGATATTATCTACGTCATCTAAGAATATATTTGTTAAAATGGATTTTTTTAATTTTGCATCACCCAACAAAGATTGTGATGGTTTAAAAGTTGAAGATGTGCCTGTTTGGAACTGGCGAGACCTCAATTCAGATGACGATGTTGTTGTGGATGAGGCTTTTGTTGTTGTTGATGATGATGATGATGTTGTTGTTGATGATGATGTTGTTGTTGTTGATGATATGGATAATGATGGTGGTGATGATAATGATGATAAGAAATATGGTGACGAAGCCGATTGTAAAGAGGATGATGACGATGGTGATGATGACGATGATGATGGCGATGATGATGATGATGTAGTTAGTGGTAATGATGTAGTCGGTGGCGATGATGACGGGGGTGTAGGTGGTGCAAATAACATTGATTTCGATGAAAAAATCGTATTTGTTGAAAAGGACAGTGAATCCGAAGCATAATGTTCAGCTCCTTCCTTTGTTTCTCCAGTAACATGGTCAGATGCTGGCATGGCCGGCTTTGCGGTCGTCACTGCTGTTAGTTTTGTTAGCGCTTGAAGTGGCTTCAGCGGCGACCATGGACCTTGCGACGTTGGTTGAAAGGAGCAGAATTTTTTTTGGTTGGAGTTCAAGACGGAGAGGCCGTTAATGTAGATGGTTTTCAGACTGACACTGCTGGCCGATCTACTGCCACCTGAAAATCAAACAAACAACAGACACATCTCTCGTACTGTTCGTTCAAATGATTTGTAAAACATTCCAATTGTAGCACTGAAATGACTTGAAGGTTCAAAATATGATTTATCATTACATCGAAAATTAATATCGAAAAAAATTGCTTATAAAAAATAATTGTGAATTCAAAACAATTTAATCCTAAGCAATTATAAAAATTAATAGAACAGTTGAATGTCCTATTCATGTTTCTTCCATTGTATCAGCAATAAAAAATGTTAAACAAAAAAAAGACAGCATTCAATTTTTTAAAATTTCAACGTTGAAGGCAGAAAAAAATAGCAACTGATCTTACTCTCCGTATTTCCGAAATAAATAAATTTTGGCCACTGTAGGACATGATGTCGCATCTTCTTGTAGTCAACGTCATCATCATCCCCACCACCACCATCGTCACCCTCACTCTCAACATCACCGCCATCATCATTTTCACCACCATCATCGTCATCTTCCTCTTCCACCTCATCCTCTCCCTCCTCTCCAGCTCCGAGCGGCATGCGTTCAACGTGTCCGTCAACAGAGATGTTTATGAGTTCTCCGGACATGCTGGTGGTCATGGTCACTCGGTGCCATCTGGATGTCGGATTCGTAATTTCATTTGGTGTAATTTGATGTCTTCTTACTTAATGAAATATTCCTTTTACTCTTGTGATCATGAGTTTATCACCAGATGCTAACCAAAATTAACACAAAAACTAAAAATTCAAATTGATGTAGAAAAAATATATCCAGTAACTAAAATGCGGCAATTAAATTAAGCAGCGGCATGGAAAAACAAAGAACTGACGAAATGATTTAACGTGTCAATTAGTTCGACGACTGATTTTTAAGTGGTGTACCGGTTCATGGTGTAATGGTATTCTGATTCAGAAATGAATAAATGCTGGAATAAATCCATGCTTCAAATTTGTAGGAGATTGTCACAACACACGCAATGTGTGTGGCTTCACGTGAATTCAACATCTTTTTCAAATTTACAAACTTTATTATGTTTCTGTAATAATTTTAAAAATTTTTATATTTTTACATATTCAGCATTAAGTTGTGCAATTTTAAAGTACATGTGCGACGAAATGAAAGCATGTTTGTTGTACTTACTTTAATCTTGCCAGGCCTTCTCACTTAATGCCGAATAAAATCCTCGTCCTGACTACCTGACTTAATATTTTCCTCGTGCAATAATGCAAGTAGCAACTATTTATATTTTAGTCATCATTTAGTTACTTTTAAGCAGCTATAAAATAGTTGTTACAAGAAAAATTTTGTTAAAAATAGAAATTATGACGAAGTGAATGCGTACGTAATCTTTGAAAAGTTCGTGTTACATTTTATGGCTGGTCTGATTTTGTATGGGTTCGCTTCATCCAGCCTACCTGCAACTGCAAATTTCAAAAATTTTCCACGAAGCCGATTCATTGTTGCATTAAAAGATTGAACATTTTAAAACGGGCAAGTAATATTTATATACAATTATTTTTAAGGTTTTATTTTGGACTTGGATTTTCATTAATCTTCAAGTAGAATAAATATAGATGAAATTAATTGTAGAATATGCGTACTAGAGGGAATAATATTAATACAATACAATAGAGTGAAGCAAACGCATACACACACACACACACGCACGCACACACACACTACAGAGGTGTGGCCGTTATTGTAGCGTTGTCAATCCTCATCATTCTGTGGCAGACTGTTTTTAAACTCATCAAGATTCCACGAAGATGATGTTAATATAATTAAGTTGTTGTTGCTTATGTCGCTATGCTCATAAATTCATGTCTTGGCTTCTGAATTATCAATAATTTTATAATAAATATTAGATTTTTTAAACCACAAGTTTTATACCGTTACGTGAAAATTATTTTTTATGGGGTTTTTTTTACTATTTTTCCCAAAATAAACACAACTCGATGGTTTGGCTTGTAACTGCACTTTTTTTGCACGAGTCATTTTATTTTCTTTGTTTGTTTTGGTGCCGACAACGTAAACTTCCATTTCATCCTTCGTTTTGTAGTGCATTGAAAAATATAACTTCATGTAAACTTTGACTCGCCGACGCAAAAACGCTTAAATGATTGCGGAATGGCTAATGAACGAAATAAATTTTCAGCAATTTTAAAACGCTATGACCGATAAAAAATTCAATAAAAATCATAAAAAAATAACGAATAAATATTGTGTATGCCCGCAATTAACCAAGTCATCTGCATCAATAATTATATATAATATAATTATATATATATAATAAATATAACTTAGTAATTTATGAAATCTACAGAATTTCTGGAACTATCCAACGCTAGAAATTCGGTAGATTTTATAAATTACTGCATTGATTATGGTCTTTTACCCGCAATTCTATAGTTTGTATATAAATAAAATTATATAGTTATTATAATTATGTAAAACGCGCGACAAATGCAAACAGTGTGGAACCTGTTGTCATTCAAGTTGCTGGCAGCTGTCAGGATAAGTTCATTGTAGAACTTCTTGTTGTCATAAATTAATGAGAGGTGGATGGAAGCGTTGAAGAGCGACAGTCTCAATCTACTCCCGTCCTTCTTGCTCACGTAGCCCAGCAGCTCAGCGTTGTAATCAGACGTCTGTTTAATATGTTTGCAGTTTTCATGTTTCTAAATTGTTTGCAAGTCTTCACTGTGGCATGATTGGAATGTATTCTTTTGTCTATTTGCCACAATGCTTTAAAAATTTATTACCATACCATTTTACAATATTTTTCATAAACTTCATTCAGTCTTCATGTTAACATGCAAGCAGGCATGTTCAGTTGCCTGTCAGTCGGTCGGACGGTCAGTCGGTCAGTCAAACGGACAGACAAAAAAACAGACATTTAGGCAGACAGACGGCTTATCAGTCAATCAATCAATCAATCAGGCAAGCAAGCAAATTAGTGTGGCATCGTTAAATAAAGATAAACAAAACAAACATGTACGTCTTATAATCTCTTCCGAACATTGTGAGTGATTGATTGCTACGTTTAAATGAATTGAAGAAAATAATTTAGTTACCGAAAATCAGCGTAATGTGTGTGCGTGTGTGTGTGCGCGTATTTGTATGTGTGTAATTTTGTTGTATATGTTTATGTCGCACTTTACAGACCGGCGAGCCAGAGGCACAGGTGTTGAAGGTGCAGAAATACTCTCTCGTTTTTTTCTGGCGCAAATTTGTGCTGGCGCTTAATTCGCAACCCTTCTGTGCAAAATATTATTACTATATATAGACTTACATGCATGAATGAGCTCACGTTTGTGTGAGATGTGCGTGGTTTTGTGACATGAACACTTCACTTATGTCCATATGTCATCATGATGTGTGGTTTTTGAGCACTTTTTTAATCAATGTTAATCGCCGCTGTGTTGTATGTTTCAAAATGTGCTGCTAAGAAATATGTATGTTGATTTAATTTGAAGAATTTGAAATATTATTTGTTAGATTCACATGAGGAAAAATATACAAAATCTCTCTAAATTAGACTACTAACATGACATTTGAAAATGACATATCTATTTATTTATCTTTGTAAAAAGTTGAACATGTAAAAAACGAACCCAAAGAACTATGCAAAATTTTACCAGATTTTTTCATAAAAATTGTTCGTTGTAAGAAAATGCTTGCCTGTCTAACAACAAATTAATTTTGTGGACTATCTTGCAATGAGAAAGAAGAGTAAAGACTGCATTTACAAAGAGTTAAATACCACCTGTCAGATTGGCACAGTGGAAAATAAACAAAAAGTTATTTAACCTTGAAAAAGAAAGAAAGCATGCTTTGCTGCAAATTGTACAATTGATGCTCGAACCCTTCAACGTTGACCAGTAAAAATCTGTCACCTTTCAGAGTCACTGCTTCATGATCTGTTACGTGTGAGCAGTTGTGACGCGTTAGTTCCGTGCGTCAATATGTTTTTCGAGGAATCAGATTTACATTTAGCTGAAAAGATATTTTAAATAACATTTCTAACAATAGTTTCCAAATTAAAAAATTGGGCATGGTTTTTCAAAAACATATTTCGTTGTAAGCTAAAAAAATGTAAATTAGTAGCAAGATTAACATTAACAAGAGTAACATTATATACAAGTGTGTTGCCGCATCAGTGAAAACAAACTTTTCGACAGACTACTCAACTCAAAGTCATTATCAAATCCACTTTCTGCAAATCATTTGTTTGTCGCTGCATTTAAATTACTTTAGTCAATTATGGTGAAATAATTGGAATATTTTATTCAGTATATACCGCTTCATTAAGAAACCCATTTCAACTTGAAAACTTTCCATCGCACTTGCTATTAAATGATAGTTTCGTGCATTATTTCGCAACGACAGATGCTTAGTTTTTGCTGCTGCCCCTTCAATAGTATCCACATGTCAACTCTTGGTTGCATGCTGCTTGTCTGATGGATGGTGAAAATGTTTTTAAATCAAGAATATATATGTAATATAAACATAAATATCCATGATATAAACAAAAATTTAAATAGATTTTTTATCAATTTCTAACATTAAAATAAAATATTTTCGGTTTGTGATGATTAGATTAGCCCCAGCAGGATTGTATTTGATCGAATCAAAGGTACCAAATTTGTAAAAGGTCAGTTCAGTATTCATAACACTGCTTGCAACGTTTCAGTTTTTAATTTTTTAACTCGTCCAATTTTGAAAATTAAATTGCAGCCTGAGCGGGTAGAATTCTTAATATTGATGAAACAAAAATACAAGAAAGCATCTGTAAATGTTTCTATCATTATTTAATGAAGTGGTTTAAACAATATTATTTCGACAACCACCACATTTAATTTGGTTTCTGTATGATATTTTTTATTGCACAACAATGAGATTTTTGGCAAAAGCGTCAAAAATAAATTTTCTTCTCTCCAATTTTGTTGCCTGATTTTCTTCATTTTTTATGTTTGATTGAAATAAAAATGATCGTCTGAGCAAAAAAAACTTCAATTTCAGATCACTTAACATAGCTGGAGAATGTAGCAATAGTTATTTGAATATTTTTAAACGTTCTTTTGTAATTGTTGTTTATGGTTTGCAGTTTAACAACGTTTTAGCAAAAGAAGGTTATCATTCATTAGGCCATCTAGTCACCGAGATAAAGATTCATTTTTGTTGCACTTTGATTTAGTTCCGTCTTTTAAAAGTTGACATATTGTCAATTAATTTTATCTCCACAAAAATTTAAAGTGAATAATGATTAAGAACTTTTCCAAGCACACTTTTTGTCATAATAAGTGAACAATATTTTTTCATTTATAAAAACAAACCTAAATGTTGGCAGAATTCTCCGACATAGTGAGTCAGTCCACAGTCACAATGCAAGTGCGTGTACATGTTGACGCAGACTCCGCCATTGTAACATAACTTCCTCATCGTCTGACAGCCATCCACACAGCCGTCTGTCACGCCAGCCGACGAATGAAGTTGCAGTTCTATTTTTTGCTTCGGAACTTGTAGCTGCTGGCATGTTAACCGAGTTGACTAAAATTATACCTGCAGTTCTAAATATCTTGTGAATGATTTTAGAAAGACTAAATTCACTTTTAAAAGATTGTTATCAATTTTTTCTATAATGAAGTTTTTAAACTGCCTAAAAGAAAGGAGAGAAGCCCAAATACGTAAATCTTTGATCATTATAAAAAAAGGAAACTTCTCACCGGATCGCCCGAGAGGATGGCACTTAAGAGGCCCATGCATCCAACAAACGATATTCCATTCAACTTTCCTCCTCGTCCAACGACATCTAGTTCGTCATTAAAAGGAAAATTTTAATTCTTTAAAGTCGGTATTTTAATTTAGAACCACCTTACATTTATATCATTTTGTAAAAACATATTTTACTTATTTATACTGACTTTGTAAATCAACAAAATTTAGCAACATTGCATTTTTTTAAAATTTTAATCAAAATTTTAAAAAAGCTAGTTACGAAAAATAAATTACCAGTTTGAAAAACGCGTTAATTATAGTAAAAGATTTTTTAACTTCTCAATTATAAATATTAATCGGAAACGTGTCTAACTTGCCAAGTAATGTTAATGAAGCAGTTTGAAAAAGCAAAACAAATTCCAAATTTGGTTTCCAGACAACAGTGTACTTCGGAAACTTAAGCGTTATGCATCTCAAATTCACTTAATCACATTTTATATCTTCTATCTAACATATTGTTGATATAGCTATCGCTTGCATAAGTCATCTTAAAATTAATACTAACCCTTATTTAGATTATTTAAAGACAATGATTGAACCTTTTCATTTTTACGATAAGTTTGCTCACAATTATTTGACAAATTTTTATTGGAATATTTTATGAAAAAGTACAAGAAAATCACTTAAAAAGTGATTTCCAAAACTTGTAGAAAATTGTGAAAATTTATAGAAAAATGTTTATTATCGTTATTAATATTATTATTCTTAAAAACATACGCCGTTTGTCAAATTACTAAAAAACTCTACGGGAGGCCAAAACTAGGACAAAAACTTTAAATTTGAGACTAATTTTTTCTAGACTACTTACCCCAAATAAAAACGAAATCGTTAAGAGGTCAATAACCATAAATCAAATTACAAAATTAAATAACATTTAATTTATGAAAGATTATAAAATTTGTTTGAGATCAAAATGAAAAAAATCATTTCTCATTTTTCAAATCTCATCATCTTGTAGCCACCTTTATCTTCAACATCAACAGACAATACGCCTATCATCATTTTCAACATCATCGTCATCTGCATACTCATTTCTTTTTTTCTTCTCATATTCATTCTTCTTTTCCACCGTTTTCTCTTTCTTATTTTCGTTCTTTAATCTGATAACAGTTAGGAGTTATGGTAGCAGCGTTATATACCGAGTAGGTAGATATAATCTTGCTTCTCGAGACGCCATCTTTAACCCTCGACTAACACTATTACTGCTACCATCTGCGATAATGTTATTTATAGTAGTGGCTATTATAACGATTGCAACTGACGAACACATCACAACTAATATTTTGCTATTTTTTGCTTTCGGTTGTTGTTTTTGTTGAAAATTTGTCGAATCACTTATGTGCACCACAGGTGGAAACACTATTGATACTCAACACTACAAACTTTAACTAACAAACAAACAAAACGAAAGAACAAATAAACAAACAAATAAATAAAACTCAACAGTGTTTATATCATAATAGAAATATTATATGTGCATTGAGACATGGTAGGACAAAAAAAATTAACGTCAAACAACATTTCAAGGCAGCACCAACCTCCCATATTAATCATCATTGCAAAGCTCGTTGGCTCCGTGCCCTTTGAACGTATTATGCTCTCTTCAATGCTACTGCCTTCATTGTCCACAAGAGGCTCCTCATTTTTTAAACCTTCTGATATATAGATCATTATGCTTTTCTAGTCGTTCAATTCCTCAAATGTTAAGACAAACCTCTTTATAAATAAATGTTAATACGCAATTTTATCAAGCTGGAAGTTTTCATTGTAATAAAAATTGTGTGTAAAATATGTGAAAATTGTAGCAGATCCCAAAATTTTTTCAAAAACAGAATTATATCAATTTATTATTTTATTTATTAATCACAAAATGACTAATTAGGTGATTGAAATAAAATGTAATAAAAATTTAAGTTACAATTGAAAACATAAAAGTGATTAAAGGTAAATTTCACTCATAGTTTAATTCAATTAAAACTTTTGAATCGTTGAAACTTCACTTTTTTGAAGTACCTTTTTCATCGTCCGTCCCCACTGCATTCATTTTCATTTGGACAACTTTTGACAGTCGTTCATTCAGCAGGACTTCAACGGAGTTGTTGCTGGAGATGGAGATGACCACGCTCTGCCAGCTGTCGTTGTTCAAATCTTTAAATAAATTACATTTATATAAAATGATCATTCGAATTTTTGGCTGTTTTTGTTAATATCTTTAAATAGCAAATTCATTCATGATTAAAAATTTTCATTCATCAAAATATATCATACCTGTTAGTTATATCGTAATAGGTATGATTTATTATAAATAAATCAAAACAAATAAAACGTGTCTACAAATAATTCTGCTCTTATTGAACCATCTGATATTTTCGAGGTACTTAACCACGCCTATGACCAAGTGAGTGAGCAGGCGTACTAATATGGGATTCGTTTTAAGCAATTTAAATCTTCCTTCGATAAAATTTTAGCGACAGTCAGCATTTATCCGATATTCTGCGTTTCACAAATACGTCGGCTTGTTTAAATATATCGAAATATTTCGAAAATCAATTTTAATTCAGATGAGTAAAACATTTATGTGCGAGCGAGACTTTTTTGACATTTGAATTCATATCACAATTTTTAAACAAAAAGTCTTTAAACTAAATAAAATTAATTGAGCGACCCTTCACTCAAATTCAATTTTGCGAGATAAAATTGCGTTGATACTAACGGACGTCGAAGATTCAGATAGTTTATCACTCAATGTTTTCATTCTACAAATTGAATTTTAATTAATATTTCTTTAACAAAAGAACAGAAATTGATGAATGTTTTTTAATAGTTAATTAACTTCATGGTATAAAAGTTGGTCAAGAAAAATAATTACAAACAACTATTTCAAAATTACGACAAAATGACATTAAAGATGTAAGAATGAAAGTGAAGAACTTCCGGTTGCCCCTATCTCTACATCTCCATGGGCATATAAACATCACGCCAACCACACCCTACACGCACTAAAAATACAAAGATTACTTTTAAGAAGCGCCGTCAACTAACTACATTTAATCGTCATCTTCATTTTGTTTTAATAAAATTGGACATATTTTTTCTAAGATAAAAACATATTAACTTTTGAATTATCGAACCATTAAAATTCAGCTTTCAAATAACAATTTTTTACATTCTCGGCTTAACTTATGTTGATTCTTATTGTAAAAATAAGAGTAGATTTATGTATGTTGTCATTGAGTGAAATTTTGTGATTTTATAAATAATTATTTAGCCAACAATAATGTTGTTTAATGAAGTTTGTTTAATTAATCATAAATTATTATCATAGCATGTAGGTAGGTACACGCATAATGAAACTTTTTTGGTTTAAATGTTTGTAGCCAGAAATTCGTTGTAATAAAAATTTTTCATTACACAAATCGTTATCTATTCAAAGGTATTAAAACCCTTGTTATTGTACATAATTCCACTTCATTTTATTGTATGGGAGGTGTAATAGTTTTCAGGCCGTGTCAAAATTATATAGATTTAGCGTTAACTTCAATTTAGCGTTAACCCCAGCAAACAATCGCCATTGTGAGGAGACTTCAGCGCTGAATCTCCCCGATGGAAGCCGATCTGATCATTTTCCTGCTGTTACTCAGTTGTTGATTCAATATGATAGATTTCCATAAACTTCTTTCAGGTTTTTTATTTCATTCTCATTTATTTTTTGTAATCATCTTTGCGGTAGTGCAAGCTTTTGACTTAGATTTTGTTGTCCATTTATTATAAATAAAATTGTATATATATATATATATATATATATATATACATATATATATACATATTTAATACAATAAAACGACTTTAGTATTATAGTTTTTATTTCATTTTCTCTTCACGTCAGATCTTCTTTTTTTTTTAAAATTATCTCAAATTTTCATTTTCCGTCGACACACAAAAAACCTCCCACTGAAAAACCAATCCAAAACGACCTCCTAAAAAAATGAGATCAACAAAACGGCGACTGCTGACGTCACGACCGGAAACATGAAATCACGTGACCGGCATATCAGAGATAGCGAACAAGGCATTATTTTGATCATCGGCATTTTTTGCTGGACTATTATGTGTCCCCTGGCTTGCATATTTGTTTCTCACTTGCGCTTCTTTTCATTGTTTTTCTGTTTATTACTGAGTTTTTCAGATCTTACGTTTAGTGTTTTTTTAAATAGTTTGGCTGGTTTTCGAAAGATTATGGAAATATTATTTGTCGTATGTTGGTTTCCAACCAGTTGAATTATTGTGTTTTACGTTCTAATCGTGATACGTGGATGAGTCATTTCTTGTCAGAAGTTACAACTTAGGTTCCACAGCGTAAAATTTATTTCTAAAAAAGCGCAATCGTATTTTTATGAATTATAATTATTTCGATGAATTTTCGGTAATAATATTTCAATTATTCATTTTCATCACAAACCACTAAACTATCTACGCATGTACGTGTAAGCACGAGTTCTTGAGATAAACATATCGGTGATGTTGCAGTTTCCGTGTAGTATTTATTTTCGTCTTTTCATCTTCATGTTGTGCACGTTTCACAGCATCATTCGTCTCAGATGTTTGATGATTTTGTTCTCGTGTTTCCCACCGTTTTTTAGTTTTGACGATGTTGTGGTTGTTGGTGCCATTTTAAAAAAAATGTTAAAAAAGCAGGAAAAATGTTATTCTAAGATATTTCTTAATTTTCAGTGTCGCATGGATAAACTTGGAGGAGAGCAAAGGCGGCTTAACGACCGAGGCATTATGCACGCTTTCAAACCGCTTTTGCTTCGTTGGATTCTGTTTGACGTTGCTGCGCGTTTGTATGTAAGCATTTTTATTTGTTGTTATTGATGTTATGTTATTGCTTCATTCATTTTGCTGCTATTTTCGCAACAGTAATTTTTAATAACACGGCTTTAATTTTTTCATGCATGTATATTTATTCTTCGATTAATGTACCGTTGGTTCGATAGATCGCACTTTATACGGTGTTATTTCAGATAAAATTATTCTAAGGTTGTAGAGAACTTCATGATTTGTTCATTTGATTTTGAATGACTTTCCACTTCCCATTTTTTATGGTTTCAAAATAAGTTTCGTTAGGTTTAGATAAGTTTTCTCATTACAATGATTATTCTAGACAATGTTTTCAAACTTGTATGTGGTAAATTTGCATACATATATTGTTTGATTTTCAGTGCCTACCAACAATGTTTACATAATTAATAAATCAAATAGAAATTTCCATGAGTAACTTTTTATTGCACAAATTCTTGCAATGCATTAAATAGCGAAAATTTTAAACACCGATGAAATTTATTTCAAAATCGTCTGTGAGCCGTTGTAGTATTAATGTTCGTGAATCATCAATCATTATACAATGGCTTTAACGAAATATACTTTCAGCTGCTTACTTAACCATTTGGTCAGCCACAAACAAAAATGTAGGTACGTTGTGTATATACGAGCACGTACCGACCTATATTACATGTGTGTACCTATGTGTTGGAAGTCAACCGATGTCGAGGCAAGCCAGAGCAGCTGAACAAAAGTTGCAACCAAGAGTTCATTTTTTACTAATTTAAAATATTATTGCGATGAGATAAAGCGTCCATCCTTCCAATCTCCTAATAAAGATTTATATTTCTAAATGAAGTACCCTAATTGTATATAGTCGTCGTCAGTTCAAACATGTTTTATTTTAACAACAAAGTGAACGTACAATTAGACACCATTGACGAGCTTGTTTAATATTCATCAAGCTTTTGTTTATACCACTGAATAAATTGTGCATATAAGCGTATAACTGCAATGCTTACTTGAATGACTGCATGATTGATAGCGTAAATGCTGGTGTTCGCCAGATAACATTCACTAGATGGGTCATTGAGGCGCCCATATATAATCTTTCTTCTTTTGTTTCCTGTCCATTTTCATTTCTGGGTTTTGTCGTTCAGGTTTCTATTTCGGCCTTATTTACTTGCAATATTTTTAGGCTGTTGTAAACTTTTATTCAAAAATTTGAAGTACTTTTATTTATTAGTTATTTATTTATTTAAATCTAATGTACGCAAATACGCATTGATTTTGAAGGTGGATTTGTGAAAAGATTTCGAAGTCAATCGATGTTAGCCTGCAGACAGTCAATAATTTAAACCGCTCAACATTTAAGAACGATACTCAATTGAAAACTTCGCAGAAAAAAAATTTATAGAGAGAGAAAGAGAGAGAGAGAGAGAGAGAGAGAGAGAGAGAGAGCATGCAGTGAGAAGAAATATAATTGCTGACGTGGAATAACAAAGAGGGCGCATGGCAGAGGTTAACGCTGGCAGGTCAAAGCTCTGGGATCGCCTAACCTGCCACTGACGACGACGTGGTGAAAATGATGATGATAATAATAATAATAATAATAACAACAATAATAATAATAATAATAATAATAATAATAATAATAATAATGATAATGATAATAATAATAATAATAATAATATATAAAAACAATTGCTGCAACGAAAACTATGCATATAGTCTTGATTCTTCAGTTATAAAATTATTGACAATTAATGCGTCCTTATTTTAATTTTTAGTCGCTAAATCGACATTGTTGCGTTATTTAATACCATATCACCTCTTGTCGCAATCATTACCTTTAGTAATCTCAGGCACGCACCAAAACAGGTAACATTTTTACTTTTTACTCTTTTTTTGCATCCTTTAATGTAAATAAAATAAATAAATAAAATACAATTACTTTTTACTCTTTTTTTAGCATCCTTTAATGTAAATAAAACAAATAAATAAAATACAATAAAAGCATTTAAATCATTAATGTGAAACAAATTTGGAAAAAAATTGAAATTCGGTCGCCACTTTGTTGATGCAAATAAAATTATTAAGAGCTTAACACATGAGTGAAATGCCGAAGAACGGATGATGAAGCCATCAAACGCTCGCATGTCTACCAAACTAAATAGAGTAAGATAGGATGGGATGGGTGGATGTCTTTAACATTTGGGCCATAACGTGCATGTAATGATGATGATGAAATAATTACGACGACGATGACGACGATGATGATGAAACGATTAGTAACGATTTTGCCAATATCATCATTCACAATTTTATCAATAGCGACGCTCTTATTATATTCGTATGCTTATACTTTTAAATTACTACTGTTATTATTCTTATTTTTATTATTACTATTATTAATGTTATTATTAATGTTATTATTATTAATATTATTAAAGTATGAATGACTCACTCCGATGATCATAAACGTCCACCCATTGCATAGTTCCCATCAAACATTTTTTCCATTATTTACTTATATTTCGCTTACTTAGTTGGTGTCGTATTCTTCATCTTTGTTGTTGTCATTCTTTTGTTCTTCATTGTTATTGAAGTTAGTATTAAGGCGTCGAGTTGGTAATGAGGTTATCATGATAAACATCCAACAAAGACTGATAACATCATTACCAACTCAAAGCCTTAATACTAACTTAAATAATAATGAAGAACAAAAGAATGACAACAACAAAGATAAAGAATAAGATACCAACTAAGTAACTCACTTTGCTGAAGAACCAACATTGCATTGTTTAAAGAAACTATATTAACCAAACCTGCACTGAAGATGATTTGTGAAAAATCGAAAAGGCCTATCTGCATGATGAATTTGGATAACAACTGTTTTATTAAATTTTCATGATGAACTTGGATAATAATAATTTTTTTTAATTAAATTGAACAATTTCCAGAAAATTTTAGTGAGGAAATTTGAAAGGACAAATTTTAAATTGATTAATGCCAACAATTCGGTAGAGTAGAGTGAATATATATAGCATATATAAGCAGATATTATATATATATATATACATACATTTATAAAGCGCCAATTGAAACAATACCTCAAAGGCACTATCACATTCATATTAAATTCACGATCACAAAATAACAGCAATAAATTCACAGAAACAAAAATCACCAACAATAATCGAACCTGATAAATAATTTAAATCTCAACAGCTACACCTTCAGATAAGCTGTTCTCTATATAAATGCATTCATACTAATAATCATTCACCAAATAATAGAACCAGTTAGAAACATCACAAAAATAAATAAATAAACTATATCAACCAACTTCATTCAAAAGAGAATCAAACATCGAAACCGAAATGCATAAAAGTCACAAAAACATAGCAAAACCAAAAAAGTAACGAATTTCTATAATGTGAAAAGATAAGACTTCAGTATTTGTTTAAACGAAAGTAATCTTAAATCAATGATTTCTTATATAAGATGGCAAACTGTTCCACGCAGTGGGACCACAAATAGAAAAATTTCTTTCTCCAATCCTTAGCTTGGTAGTTGGTACCGTCAAAAGATTTGAGTTGTTTGATCTGAGTTGAACAGCCCCCGAAGTTATATATATATATATATATATATATATATATATATATATATATATAGTTATATATATATATATACTACATAAACTATTGTTTATATGATTCACATTATTAATATATTTCCCATAACCTACAACACATTAGGCATTGTCTATTTAACCGCTTACAATTTTATTTCATTTTTTTGGCATTGGATTTTTGTTATTTAAAAAATGGCCGCAACGTTCATACCGGTTTTCTTCCCTTCTTCCTTTTTTATCATCGCGTTATTTGTTTCTGTCCAAATTCATTACAATGGTTAGATGGATGGCTCAGCGATAGGAATCAGCGCAACTTATCTGCATAGTTTGTTCTCCTGTTGTTTATATAGAAGGCGAGATGTTTACTTTTGTTTCTATTGGTCAATTACGTTGTAGCGGTGGTGGCGGTGGTTCTTGTCTTGGCTGCAATCGTTGTAGCTTAGCTGCTGTTGTTATTGACAATGTTGTATTGTTATTGTTGTTCTTTAAGTTGTTCATTTTGTTGGCAACGTGTTTCTAACTCAAGTTTTGTTTTAATTTTTTTATCCATTTTACAAAAGACGCGCCAATTTGCGTAACGTTCACCAAAATAAATTTCTGGCTGAAGATGCCGCAGTTGCATATGCGGATCAACGATCGAGATCTTTATTGCTAATTTAATTAATTTTACTCCTATTCCTCTAAAAAAAAGAATTAAACAGTTTATAAATTTTTTCTTTTCTTTATCGGTTAGATTGATGACCCAATTAAATGTTTAAAATAAAATTATTTTAAAAATAATTTTGTACTTGCGACGTGAAGATATTTAATTTTTTTTTATCTACCTGTAGCCGTAAAGTTTACGTTGAAATGGAGAGAGGATAATATTTTTGTTGGATGTTCAAGTAACACGAAATTATTTTCCTAAATTGTGCGATGATGAGGACAACGCGGCTTGTTTATGTTACGATGAAAATATACTTGGCGCCTCAGTCGCTTGGCATGGCGCTTTATTTAATATTATTATTATAATTTTTTGTTTTTTATTATCTATTGTTTTTAGTATTAGTAGTAGCTTTGTTAATATTATTTGGTTGTTTAAAAATGTAATTGAATGGAGCAATCACCGCCTGCTCTGATTAAAAGCAGAAAGCATGAAACTATTTATTAGAGGTCTGAGCATAATTAACGAACAACGTAAGCAATGAATGCACTCATAAAAATAGAACACGTATAAACATTGAACATATGACAGCAATAAGCAACAACCTAATTATCCAACTGGCAAGAAAAGAAAGGAAAAAAAATCCAAAGAAATTGAGCGACCGACTGAAACAGAATGCAACATCAACTCAAACGTCGGCAAAACTGAGCATAAATAATGAAGAAATTTTTTTAAGCAAGTAAGTAATCAACGGATCATGTACGTAGTTAACATAAACAATAGACGACTTGAATTACAAATAATGCTGCATTGGTAGATGTTCGAAAGATGCTATTAAAAATAAACATAAACAAAACGAAAGGAGGACACACAAAAAACATTACCGACACAAACACACATGTGCATGTTATTAACGTGCTTCTAAACTGCGACTGGCAAGTAAGATTATTTCGCTTCTTAAGGCTGTCATTGTAGCATTCAATTTTGCAGAAAAACGACTGTCAAGTCAAATTGCTTCGATATTTTATTTTCCTTACAGCGTTGCCTGAAAAAATCAACGTTAATTTTATACGTCATAGCAACAATCAACAAAACGGATATTTGTGAAAAATTTCAAAATTTTTGCGCTGCATTAAAAATATTTCCATGGTTCACTTACTTTTTATTATACAATTCGAATTAGTTGAAAAGATGCATGCGTGGAAGTTTTATAGTTTTGGAGACCAGCGACAAATTGTTTGAAGTGAAAGCAGCAGCAGTAATAAAACATTGTGAAAGGTGACAGGGGATGGCGTGGATTTGCATGGAGAGTGAAATGTGGCAGACTGCTGGATTAACCCTCCGAAGAGGTTAATTAATTAAACTACAAATGTGCATTATCCTCCTTTTCACCACTACAGACAGAACGATTTGTTAGTTCACACGTCAAGTCAGAGATTCAATATTCAACTGTGCACCATAATCTAGATATGAAACCTTTAAACGATCGTGTTACTTAGTTGGCCTTTGTGCTGCGCGCATAAGAGTCTTGTTATGCAGTGCAATTGTTGGGTTGAGTCCAAATTTTTTGAAGATGCGTAGGTTGGGTTGGTTTAACATTTTAATTTTTTTTTATTATTAAACCAAATTTATTTTTGCGATTTTTTTTTATTTTTAAACATTTAAACAAACCTTTTACCTAATTTATATTAGGTGTATTTTGTATCGCAGCTATATTGTTGTGTTTTTGGTCTATCGGTTCCTCTTTCTTTTTGTGATTGTTCCGTTGGGTAAAAGTTAACTTCTTTCCGATCGAGAAAATTATTTTTATTTAAAAGTATGACAGATTCAGAAAAAATTCAGCGTCATTAGAGAGGTTTGTGTGATTTTAATTTGCTAAGTTTGTGAAAGTAAAAAATCCGATAAGGCCAAGTTGCTTAACATTTATACATTTTTCTTATGTCATTTCAGTACATCGGCACAGCAGAATGTTGAAGATGATTACACTCAGCCAGCCAAGAAAGTAAGCTCTGATCCTTTTGCTAACCTGCTGGATGGCTGTAGCTCATCAACCAATGAAATTTCAACTGCTAAACCCTCAGGTCATGAAGAATTGGGTAGATACAAAGCCGTGGATGTTCCTGCCAACCACACCTCTTTGCTAGCCTACTGACAAGACAATAGAAAAGACTTTACACTTCTATCAAAAGTTGCTAGACGAGTGTTATGCATTTCTGCCAGTTCAGCACAATCTCAGATGCTCGATTAAGTCTCTGCACGGGAAGCTGAAGAAGTGGAATTAATTTGATGGGGTTGTCGAGCTTCCATGATAGATATTGATAAAGTCTAACCTTTACTCATTGTGGGACAGTGACTCTGGACTAATGAAAAAAAAACTAAGTAAAATATTAGTAACATTTGAATTTTATTCAATTTTCATGTTATTTTATGACACTTGCAATGTGATTACTTTACCGGTGTATTTTATTTCAAATAAAAGCTGTTGTTTTTGAGTTCTGCGTTTTAAATATTATTTGTCAAAATTTGGTTGTTGGTTAAAATTGCAACTCGTAGAGATGGTGGCTTGTGGGTTGGGTTGAGATTTTGCATTTTCAGGCGAGTTGGGTTGGAATGGGGTGAGTAAGCGATGGGTTGGGTTGGGTCAGTAAAAATGGACCCATATCCAACTCTGGTCTGAAAGCCAAGCATTTATTCACCATTTTTTATATAAAAAAATAGAAAATTAACAATTAACGGTACAAATGTTTCAATAAATGAACGATGATCAAAACTCTACAGCATTATAAAACAACGTGCAGCACAAAAAAAGATACATTTAAGCAAAGGCCAATCATTTAACAAACCAAGAGCATAATGCAGGGCCTACTATGCTCAAGTTATGTTGTGCGCGTGTTAGGAGTTTCATATCAGGAGGCTGTTTCATCGAGACATCAAGATGAAATGCATGAAATTTTTTAGTGCGGTTGGCTTCACGCTCACTATATTTCATTGGAAGTTTTTTCTGCCTGATTTAGTTAATTGTACAAACTTATTTTATCAAGTCTAACCATAACAAACACATTTATCAACGGCATCTTTTCAAAAATAATTTTGCCCCGAGCGGTCTCGAGTTGTAATGTGATGGTGGATTCATATACAGTGGAAAAAAGTGCAAAATGCGTTCACCATATGCTTAAATGTTGCAATGCCTTATTTTTCGCAATTTTTTTACTTTGTGCTGCTATTCTCAACATTTGCTGCCAAAAATCACAAATATCATAAGTTGAGTCCTTTGTTAATGAGCAGCATATCTGAACAAAATTGATGACGATGCTTCCACTAAGTGGACATCATACGTTGGAAAAAAATTTTGAATCAATTTTAATTTAACAAAGTGAACATGAAAAATTAGGAATAAAACTTAAATCAACGAACGACAAAAAGTAAAAAAGATTGATATGAAATTCTGAAAATTTGTCACGTGTTAGAGCGGGTGTGATGAAAACATGCGAAAACTAATTTAAAAAATATTTGTGTTTCAGTTGTCTGTGGCTTTTTATTGTGGAGGTGGACTGAATATTCCAATGTAAATGCCAGTTTCCAATCACAAAACAAGATCAATAAAGATGAAACGAAAAGAGCCGAACAACGAACGCATCACACCGATGATGATAAGAGTTTTAGAAAACTACAATGAGGAGACCGTTAGGTGATTGGCACTCACCGGTTGGATTTCATTAGATTTTGTAAACTTTATCAACGAACAAATTCAACAACTGAAATTTTTAAATTTTGTAAGTTCAAGTTAACGAAGCTGAAGTTATGCCCAACAACTCATTTGTCAACAACACTAGAGAAGATATACGGAGAAAAAACGTGGCATCGCAATAGATAGATAAATAAACTTATTTCTCAAACTGATTCTGCAATATTTTTTAACTTGTCTCAACATTTTTATAAATGCTGATTAAAATTGAGCTTGATTAAAATTGTCTGTTGAACATTTAAAGACTTGGCTAACGTCTTAGCTTCTTAACATTTTATATTTTCATGTTAAACGATAGTAGCTTAATGTTTTTTATCTAAATCAAATTTTTGCAAACTTGTATAGAAAATTTCGTATTGAATTTTGTAGTGAGAGTAAATGAACTCCGCGTGAACTTTAAACACCGTTACAAAATAGGTTTTCAAATTCCAAGAATACATCAGGGTTGGTTTTTAAAACAAAATTGTGGGGATCGGTATTTGTCCATTGCTCACTATGTCAATAATATGAGGTTATATTGAATTATATTGAACTTGTTTTATTAATATTAAAACAAGAAGTATGGCAAACACCCAATAAATATATCAATCAATATAAATTGATGATCATCATTAATAATTTTTCAAAAAAATTCTCCCAAATTCAGATGGATAGTTATTGAAAAACAAATTAAATGAAAAATCACAAGAAAATTAATTTGAAGAAAGTTGAGTTGAAATAAAAATCAATTAATAACTGAAAATATATTTAAAAATTTTTTTCAAATAAAATCAAAACAACATTGCAATCCCAATTCATAACTAATGCATTCTAATGCACGTTCATCAAGTCAGCTTGCATGCATGCACAGGCGATTGTTAGGAGGTGCAGGTTCGTGTGCGCCCACATAGGTGCATGCATTACAACATTTGCATGCATTTCAATGTGTGCATGCATTTTGATGTGTGCATGCATTTTGATGTGTGCATGCATTTTGATGTGTGCATGCATTTTGATGTGTGCTTGCATTTTGATGTGTGCATGCATTTTGATGTGTGCAAACATTTCAAATGCACAAATATACTTATAATAGTTTCCGTATGTAAGTTTTTTAATTGTTGTTTAAAGTTTGTAACACTTTGCTTCAATATTATTAACTCCTTCCAGGTATCGGCATGACTCAAATATGTTTTAATCAATTTATCAAGCAACAACAGCTCTAATTAACGTGAACAATTTCTGCCCAGCTGCACTGACGCAAGCATTCGATGCTTCGAATTGTGCACCATACATCACTTGTCATATATTTCGTGACGCAGTTCAAAATTATGCAACATACATCAATGATCAATTATTTTATAACACTCACTTCTACCAAAGTGTTTGATCAGCAAATATCCTTCGTTCCCATTATTGACAATATAACTTCCCAGGTTCCCTGGCCTTTTATTATATTTTTCGTTAATTTTCTTACCATTATTATTGACGATGATGTTGCTTTTTACATATTCAGGCAGCTCGTTTCGGTTATATATTTTTGTATTATTTCGATGCTGTTTATTCCATTTAGAAAGTAGTTCGCTCTGGTAATAAATTTGGCTGAATGTGCTAAACTGTGCGTTATCACTGTTCTTTTCATGTCTTTCATAACTCTGCATGTTTGTGTTCGGCTCCGGAGATAGTATTTTATTTTGTGAATTCTTGGGCATCACGTATATATTTAAGCGGCCTTCCTTCAAAAGCACTAGAAGAACTTTTAAACTGCTCAGTGGGTTGTGATTTTTGTATCGGGCTACTTTTGGTTTGTAATTTTCAGTTGGCTCGCCGTAGTCACCCCGATTATTTTTCTGTGTTGACATTTCTTTTGAATCACAAAAAAGAACTCTCATTAAGAAAGATGATGCTTTTCGCGTTTTGAATGCAAACTTAAATGTTAATTTACTTACCAGATTATAATTTTGAACAGCAATGTTACGGAAAGTGTTGAACTGAACGTACGATGAATTGCCTGTGAAATATGTTCTGACTCTCCTCGCTTCATCACTCAAATCATCTTCTAAAATTCTTTTCGCTGCTTTTTCTTTTTTCATTTCAGTTTCTTGTAATTTTTCTATTTCAGTTTTTCTATTTTTGTGATATTTAAGATTATTACCAGTGGCTGGGGCAAATAATTTTGCAGTTTCAATGTGGGAATTGCTGCTTTGTAACGGTACATTTATTGCTGTTCTCGAGATTAGCACTGATTTGAATGTAGTTGATTTGATCTGGGATGGTTCTTCATATGAGGGTGATGATGTTTCATCGGAATAAAGTGGCCAGTCATCGAGGTGAGGCGGTATCTTGGGATAGTAATACGTATCTGCCGATGCCTTTGTTGGGCTCGCGGTGAAACCGTCACTGTTGCAATTACTATCACCTGAGCAGTTGCTGTTCTTCTGGTCGTTTTTATCAGAGACGTGATGGTTAACGTTGACACTGTTGTTTTGGTTCGATAAGGTGATGCGTGTTTCATTTGATATCTCATCGTTTTCAACGTAGTTGTAGATTTTGTTCTTCAAGTCAAATTTTAAATCAGCAGCATCATGTTCATAGATCAAAGCACAAGACAAAATTTCCAAAACTGTTACAAATGTAGAGGAAATCATTTCTTGCATTTTTTTTCAAATTTTCAAAGCCGTGGTAGCTCATACGTTCAAGAGACATCACATGCGTGCACTTATATATATAAGAACTCACCACCGGCAATACTGTGCAATGTCAGAAGCATCACGTAATTATTGCATGACATACACTGAGGACAATCCGCGTAATTGTGTGTCATACGTACAGTTTTACATTTTGATTTTATTCTTCATTTGTTTACCTACAGGTATTGGTTTTATTTACAATTCTAAATATTTAAAATTATTTGGTTTTTGCACATTTGCAATTAATTACGTTTTTAACATTACACATGAGCGTAATATTAAGAGTACATATGAAACTTTTGTCAAGGCAAATGCAATTTGTTACCTTTCGTGAAACAATTATTAAAATCGAAACAGTTAATAACATTATTTTACCTGCATTTTGTGTGTTATTTCAAGCCACTGCAATGTAAATATTTTGGTGACATTCGGTGAAGATATCGAAGGCAAACAAAATGTAATTAAAGCGGTAACACTTTTTTTTATAAAAGATAGAAATATGAGATGAAGTTCAACATAGAGAGTCATAGATAAAATATCTCGTGTAATTTGAAGTCCTCTTATTTTGAAAAAATAAAACGAAAGAAATTTGTCTTCAAGAAAGGTTGGCATAACAAAGGTTCACTCATCAACACAACTTTCGCTTAAAAGATGATTCAACAAATTAATCACTTCTTACACAAATATTAATTTTTGTTTGCATTTTTTTCAAAAACTCTACACTTGGGGCAGTGTTGTTCATCATATCGTGAAAGAAAGATACCTTAAATACCAGAGGTACAGTCAACTAGTTATTAATTATTTTTCAAAAATTATAGACATGCTATGCAGAGGCGCTGTACAAATGACATTATCATTATTAATATCATTATTAATCTCATTGCAAATTTAAAAATCTACGTTGGCAACTAAACTAAGTTTTATTATGATTGAAATATACATCAAGCTTATACATCATCCATGCTTTCAACATCATCATCACCATTATTGTAATCAGAGTGCCATCATTTTTGTAATCATCTTAATCACAGTCGTGATCACAATCCTTCAATCCACCTCTCACCATCTCGTCCTATCTCATTGCACAGCCTAACAAAGGAACGGCGACTCGGAAGCAAGAATAAATGAATTGAGCGTGCCTTCGTTAACTCCTCATTCAATAACGCAATCATACCATTTTATGGGAAAGAGATAAGTTCTACGTATGACTATTTCTTTTTTTTTATATATTAGGTAGATAAATTCTATCATGTATGTGAATTGTTCGGGAGAAAACAACAGACTCGATATTTTTCATTCATTATTTTCTATGGTTCGAATAAATGAAATTGGGAATTATATTTTGTGCGTGTTACGAGAATAAAATTTTCACGCAGTTATAAATTTTGAATAATTAATAAAATTTGTTAGCAGTTTCTTATACAAAAATTCAAATCAGAACATTTTCATCTGAATGTATTTATGTTGTCGTATTAACAACTCACACCATCCAGCTTGTTGAGAGGCTCCCTATTTGCGGCGAATTTGTAACTTGTGGAAGGTGACAATGATTGCTAGATACATTTTCTTAAAAATCTACTACAAGTGCTACACTCATTTGCTGCTTACCAACACGTTTAATGTATGATGCTTGCCTGTAACAAGTATTGCAACTTTTTTGGGCGTTTAAAAATTAACGCTGACTTAAAATGTACACTTTTACGAGTGCAACTCACAAATCATATTGAAAGCACTAATTTAGAAAACAGACTATATATTCAATTAGACTAATTTTAATAAAAGTTTGCGTAGGTTTCAAACACATCTACTGTAAAGATATTTAAATTGGGGAAACTTTCTTGTCATGTTTTCAAAACAATCATCTTTTCCTTGCAAAAAATGCTTGATAGTTTTATGGATAGCAGGATATATTTATTATTTGTGGTTTATAAATTCAGTAGCGGATCTGGGGGTTGTCCCATTGTGAGCAGATTTTTAATATAAATCAGAAAAAACCGTTTTAGGCAGAAAATCAATCGACCAAAAATTAGATGTAATAAGCAAAAAAGTTCGTCAGCCACACTACCACAAATTTTGCCCCTATCCCCCCGTAAAAATTATAACATTTTCAAAATTTGGCCCCCTCAAAGTTGTCTAGATTCGCCACTGTACAAATTGTATTTCTTTACAAAATGAAGTACTCGCCTCTGATTATGCGCAATCACGATTCCAGTTTATCCACTGCAGCACCTCAGGATTAAGTAAATAATACTCTTAAATACAAAATACCGAAGAATTATGCAAATGACTTATTCTGTGGCTTGCTCTTTTTTTCCACAAATTAATTTATCTATGTTAATATATACGTCAATGGTAATGGGTTCCGTATGTACAAATTTGATTTTAAGGATTTGCTTTGCTGTTAGCGTGACAAGAATTGATAATGAAAAGAAAAAATAATTTATTAAACGTCTTGAAAAGTTAACTTCATAGTAATGAGTGTTAATTAACAGTTTATACGTTATAAAATCTTGTTTAAAAACTGCCATATTGCAAACATTAGCTTTTTTCTGTTCTATTGTTTTCATATATTTTGTGTAACTATTGTTTGTTTATTTCATTTGTTTATTTCGCTTATTTCATTTATTTGTTTATTTTGTAGTAAATTTGTATTATGCTATTGATGTATGTTGTTCGGAACGTAGGAGATTCAAGGTTGGTAAGTCTTATTTTCCAAATCAAAACTATTTTTAAACAAGAAAGTTTTTTCATGACATCTGGGGAGGGAAACATATTTTCAACCCGAGAGCTAAAAATGTTTTACTACTACGTTTTTGACGATTTTGTGATGCAACTGTTTTTTTCAAAATTAGTAAACTTTCTAGTTTTGTTATTTAAGTTAAGATGAACACAAATTTGAAACTAATTTTTAAATCAACTATCTATAACTATATAAATAATTAAATAAAATTTACGCTTATTGATTAATAATTTAAAATATAAGGTTTTAAAAGACGATGATGAAAACTGAAAAGTACTGAAAATAAATGTTTTGTACATCTTAAATTTCTTGATAAATGAATAATTAAGAAAACTAATAAATGGCTTATGAACATTATTAAGAGTCGGTTTAAGCATGGTTCTATGGTGTAACGGTTAGCACTCTGGACTTTGAATCCAGCGATCCGAGTTCAAATCTCGGTAGAACCTGTAGGTTTCTTTTCGTTTTATTCACTTGTGATCGGCGTAAAACTCGTTAGACACGAGGAAACGAATCCGCCTGACGATTCTTTTTTTTTTCAAAACGATTTTGTTCATAACCTGGACTAGTTCATTTATATTTACACTAGCTCCCACCTGCTTGCTACATAACAAAAATAAACAATACCTTTTTATGCTATTTAACCGCTCCGGCCAGAATATATGAATGAATATGCAAATGTACATTATATATGTATTTGTATACCGATCGTATATTACATGAGCCCACAAATCCATACTGGCTCAAGCACCAAGTGTAAAAAATGAATTTGGTTGAATTTCTACATTTAAACATTGAAAATAGTATTAAAACTGAAATTTATTATGCATTTCAAAGTTTTTATATAAAAGTTTAATATTAAAAGTAAAATTGAAATATTACACTATTTGATTTAATCTAAAATATTTCACGACAGTTATCTAGTTAAAAAAAATACATACAAAAATAGCTTTGAAACACTATTGGCATTGCAGCCACGTGGTTAGAAGTCTATGTTTTACAATTCCGTAAAATAAATTATTATGAAATGTTTAATTTTTTATGAAAAAATTGCCGACCACTCTTATCAAGAGGGGGAAAATATTTTAACCTTGTCTATGTTAAGGGGTTGCTCTTTTCAGCTTCGACAGCTTGGCCGAATAAGTGCTTCCCTAATAATTAATATGAACTCTACGTACAATAATAATATTTGCGATACTCGAAAACAAAATGTTAAACCAGTTGGATCGATAGTTTTCTTTCTTCAACTTTCACTAAAGATCAATTCAATTAGTTGGTTTTCAGTTCTAAAAAATATTAAAATCCATTCCCCACCGAGGTAAACCTTTTTTTTTAGAGTGGAGTAAATTAAAACCATGCCCAAGTTCTTCGCTTTAACCAAAACCTGTACATGCAAAGTTTCAAGACATTTGATTCTGTAGTTCATGAATCTCTAAAAAAAATCAAACAGGCAATTGAAAAAACAAACATTCGTATAAAAATCGATTTAGTTGAACTTACACATTTAACCACTCTTGAAATGAAATATGTTAAGATATTTAAAAATTCTTTATATACAAATTAAATAAATAAAAGTGAACTTTTCAACAGCACTTACTTTGGTTACCAAAACTTTACATAAGCTATTAGTAATTTCTTTAAGTCCGTTTTACAATTTTATAAAATAAACCATGAAGCGCTAAATTTTTACGAAACATCACTCTCCTCTATTCAACCCCTTTTTCATAGTAGAGCAGGCAATAGCCACGTCTACGTTCTTTGCAGTACTCAAGACTCTTATTTACCAAATTGTAATCCATTTACGCTGGTGGTTTTCAAGTACAAAATCTTTCATTTTTATTCACACAAGAATTTCAAGCCAATCTATTAGTTTTTTAGCCATAGTATTACTGCAAGATAGAAAACAAATCTGTAATTATCCAGATAAATCGAGTCTGTATTAAGTGATTTTTTATGTAGGTTCATAAAAACACGTTAAAGAGTTTAAGTATTTTAATTTATGTAGAAAATTTTTTCATGGAAAATAATGTTTGCTTCATAATTTTTATTAAAACCCTTATGAATACTTACATAAAAATCAAGTTTTGATGTTGAATTTATTTCGCAAACGTTAGTCACTCTTCCGTTCCGAATAATAAAGTTTTCAATTTTCTTGCCACATCTCCTGATGTTAAATTATTGAAATTTGGAATCTTTTCAGACGTGTAATTTAATATACAAAGTGACATCGATTTTGCGATATTAAAAATTTATGCATTTTAATTTTTTTTTATTTTTAAAAATAATTTTTTTAATTTTTCAATTATTAGTTAGCGTTCATTACAATTGTTTTGAATTTATGCGTTAAAATCAGTTAAACGATCTTCACATAGTTTAATTTTAACAGAAAAATAAAATAAGAAAATGAGTAAGTTTAAAATCGATGAGAAAAAATAAGCCATCAAACATATGAATATAAAAAAATCCAAACAGAGACGAAAAGCTTTGTGGGTAATGGTTGTTTTTCATTACAGTGTTTGCATTTTGATCAGCTAGCAAGCAAGCCGGCACCACAAAGAACAATGGCTCGTGTGACTCATGACTAATGATTCGTGAGGTAAGCCACGAGCGCTGTCAGATGTTCGAAACAATCGATCGTGCTCTGCTGTTGTTGGCATTGAGTATCAAACCATAAAACCACTCAACTTTTGTTTATACTAATACATTATATGTGTAGAAACATGTGTAAATAATAAATTATATGCATTTAATACTGAATAGAAAATACGTCCAATTTTTCATACCAAAAGTTACGAAACTTTTTTAAGCAATATTAAAAATGATTAAATTAAAGAATATTATATACAACTTGGTTTCAATTATTAATATTGTTTTAATTAAACTCAGTATTATATAAATTATTTGCTGCATCGTTCAGTTGATCCCAAAGTTCTTATGAGTCATTTGCTAATAATAAATAATTTATATCATCGAGTTTTTCAGTCTAATGTTATGCTTAGCCCAATGAACTTATGAATGCTGTTATAATAATGATATTGATAATTATTATCAATGATAATATTATTAATATTAATATTATGTATATATTAAATACTCTATTACTACTATTATTATTAAATCACATTGTTCAGATAAGTTTGGGGGCGACCTCACCTGTAGTTCTTGTTCCATGTTTCATTCATTTCACATGTTAATTCACAGACGAATTGTGCGGTGTATTGAGCATATAATATATATATATATATACATATATATATATATATATATAATATATATATATATATTCATTTATATTTATGTAGAGCATGTGCATGTGTCCGTGAGTGTGCTTCTATTCTCCTTACACCGCAAACACATGCACAGACACCTACAATATATTAATACATAAAACGCTTTTGTACTTTAGTACATAGTATATAATGTATATGAAGCACAATAAGCATATATAAAACTCGCCGCGGAGAGTGCAGTTGCAATTAAAGAAAGTGATTTAGAGATTATATTGTAATTCAAGATTTATGCATAGCACGGATACATAGGTACCAACAAATCACTGAATATTTTCATTTAGAGTTCAAATCAACGTGCCAATTTATATTTTTGTCTAAAATATTTAAATGACATGCTCAAAATATTTTCAAAATTTATCCTTGCAATTAATATTGTTATTTGTTTCACCTCATGTTCAATAGCAGGACCACAACCAAGTTTGCTTTTGTATGAATTAGCACAGAACATTTGCGGCACTCACACGTGAAATCTATTTCTCCCATCAGGCAAATGTGTGAGCAGAAATGCCGAAATTTTGTTCTTAATTGACAGTTCATCAAGCGTCGTTGAAAACGATCCACCCGGCAACAATGGTAACAGCTGGAGTTATGTTAAAAGTTTTTTAAGCGAAGTCATTCAGCTTTTACCCATTGACAAAGGAGAAACCAAAGTTGGCGTTATCACTTTTTCTACCAAAGTCAACACAAACAATAATACCGTTTTGTTTTCTAAAACAAAATCTGTGCTGAATGTTATTGCCAATTTGCCATACTCTGGAGGTAAACAATTAAATTAATGTTAAAATTTAAAAAATAAATAACAAGAACATTTTGTCCAAACAGGTAATACAAATACTTCAGGAGCGTTGAGATATGCTCGGTCTGTGTTATTAAACGTAACAACATTGCAGGGAACGGTGCCTTCGTCAACATCTTCATCTTACGATGTCAAGAAAGTGATTGTGTTGATAACGGATGGATTATCAAATGTTGATTCTTCTTTAACCCTCCAAGAAGCCAGACTAAACAAACAATTGTCCATTGAACAATATGCGATCGGAATCACCAAGTACATGAACGAAGATGAGCTGCAGGATCTAGTCAGCGACCCTGTTTCGTATCATTATCTGAATGCGTCAGATTTCAGCCACCTCAACTTACTGATCAACGAGCTGCTCCAAAGACTTACTTGCAGCCAGCCACCTCTACCTGAACGTAAGTAACACACGTTTGACATATAAAATATTTTCACGCAGTATTCGGTTTGATACAATAATGAAATGTTTGCCAAACAGCTTGTCGAGACACCAGATCCGACATAGCGTTTGTTTTAGATTCGTCTGGAAGCATAATTATTCAGCATTCCGACAACTCAAGAGATTTATCTAACTGGGTGCTAGTAAAAAATTTTGTCATTAATGTAGCCAAAAATCTCAACATCGGTCTTAGCCAGACAAGAATTTCTCTGATTACGTTCTCGCATATTGCTAGAGTAGAGTTTTATTTGAAAGATTTCAACGATTTTGAATCACTCGCTGCCAACATATCGAAAATTGACATCATTGGTTCAGAAACGAATACGTCAGGAGCGTTGAGACTAATGAATGATGTTGTTTTCAACGTTAAAAACGGTGACCGGCCCGACGTTCCCAACGTCGCCATCGTCATGACCGATGGTCAATCTAACGTTAATCAATCAGAAACTATTCCCGAGGCTATAAGAGCAAAAAATTTTGGTATAATTAATTTTAAAATTATCTTTTTACGTATTTGATTTGACTAATTTTATCACGTAGGTACAAGAATGTTTATTATTGGCATTACAAATGAAATAAATACGTTTGAGTTGCAAGCAATGAGCAGTCTTCCGCTAGACCAACACTATTTTAATAGTACCACATATTCTTTGGTTGATACAATCGTTAGCAATTTGGTTTGGAACGTTTGTCACGGTCCGTGTGTGGACAGCAACGAAGGAGCTTGTAGGGCTGGATCGCCTATTAGTAATTTGATGTTTTTCATTTTTATTATATAATAACTTTTATTAAGCTTTGTTCCATTTTGTAATTAAATAATTCAGGATGCTTGCCAAACGAGAAACTAAGTTGGATCACGTACCCGGGAAGTCTCATCATTGGACACGACTATGCCCGGCTAACTGACATTATGACTGCAGACGCGTGCAAGTCCATCTGTCTGCAGGATCCTCTCTGTCGTTCAATTGAGTTCATCCCGCTTTATCAGGAGTGTAGTGTCTCATATTACCGAAAGTCTGATGTCACGCAGAGTTTCAGGAAGGACCCAGAAGTCAATTATTATGAATGGATTTGTGGTTAACCGAAACATAGTTAATTTAATAATTCAATTTTTTTTACAAAGAACAAACGTTTTGCATTTTCTGTTAATTCTTCATTAATTTGAAATATTTTTGGAAGTTTAGTACAATCGTTTCTGTTGATGGATTTTATAATTATTGGGCAGGTACGTTTTTGCCTTAAAATCTCATTTATTGAAAACATCTTGCAAAAATATCTATCGGAGAATTTTAGTCTTCATTGGATAAGCTATGGAAACAAAATTTTTTGATTATTTTGCAATAATGAAAAAACAAAATACATTTCTTCTTTCTTTCTTTAAAATCGTTTTTTTAATGAACGCAAAATTTTAAAAGATTAAAGTTAACAAAAAACAAAACGATAATGAAAATCTTTGATTTATCTGTAAAATATATGTTTTAATTTAAAAATACAAAAACAAATAAAACTATAATATCAATACTACATGAAAATCTCATTTTTCAACAAATTTTGTGTGTAAAAAACTTTAACTCACTGCTACAAAGATGAAATTATTGATTATTTTGATCGAAAAAGTACACGAGTTCTAAAAAAATGGAAAACTAAAAAGCACAAATCCATTCATAATAATTGACTTCTGGGTCCTTCCTGAAACTCTGCGTGACATCAGACTTTCGGTAATATGAGACACTACACTCCTGATAAAGCGGGATGAACTCAATTGAACGACAGAGAGGATCCTGCAGACAGATGGACTTGCACGCGTCTGCAGTCATAATGTCAGTTAGCCGGGCATAGTCGTGTCCAATGATGAGACTTCCCGGGTACGTGATCCAACTTAGTTTCTCGTTTGGCAGCATCCTGAATTATTTGTAGAGAATTTCAAAATTTAAAATGACAAAATATTATTTCAGACAATATAAGCCTGTTAATTCCTTGCTATCCCTAATTAATAAATTCATCAATTTTCAAACAATTGAAATGTTTTTCCAAATAAATTATGAAATAAAGTATAGCACTCTAATCGCCAAAATATTGAATGTGGTGACCTCATTAACCTATTTGCTACTTTATTTTTTGTTGATGTCCCGAACATTATTCAGAACGTTGTAGACTAATGGTACAGTCGTACAGAGTTATTATATAACATATAAACATCAGCCCCACAATTATTCACTTGTTATTGATCCATTATTACATGATCCATTTTCAACGTGGGTGCATGGACTATGGCATACATTCCACACCAGATTACTGACTATGGTATCAGCCAGAGAAAATGACGTTCGGTTGAACAAATGAGTTTCCCATGGTAGGCTGGCTATACCCTGCAGCTCTTTATAATAGATTTCGTCGGTCAAACCTATTACAAATATTCGAGTATTTGAGTTTTTAGCTCTGGTCGCTTCAGGTACGGTGCCGGTATAGTTAACGTTAGATTGACCATCGGTCATGACGATGGCGACGTTGGGAACGTCGGGCCGGTCACCGTTTTTAACGTTGAAAACAACATCATTCATTAGTCTCAACGCTCCTGACGTATTCGTTTCTGAACCAATGATGTCAATTTTCGATATGTTGGCAGCGAGTGATTCAAAATCGTTGAAATCTTTCAAATAAAATTCTACTCTAGCAATATGCGAGAACGTAATCAGAGAAATTCTTGTCTGGCTAAGACCGATGTTGAGATTTTTGGCTACATTAATGACAACATTTTTTACTAGCACCCAGTTAGATAAATCTCTTGAGTTGTCGGAATGCTGAATAATTATGCTTCCAGACGAATCTAAAACAAACGCTATGTCGGATCTGGTGTCTCGACAAGCTGTTTGGCAAACATTTCATTATTGTATCAAACTGAATACTGCGTGAAAATATTTTATATATCAAACGTGTGTTACTTACGTTCAGGTAGAGGTGGCTGGCTGCAAGTAAGTCTTTGGAGCAGCTCGTTGATCAGTAAGTTGAGGTGGCTGAAATCTGACGCATTCAGATAATGATACGAAACAGGGTCGCTGACTAGATCCTGCAGCTCATCTTCGTTCATGTACTTGGTGACTCCGATCGCATATTGTTCAATGGACAATTGTTTGTTTAGTCTGGCTTCTTGGAGGGTTAAAGAAGAATCAACATTTGATAGTCCATCCGTTATCAACACAATCACTTTCTTGACATCAATATTTGAAGAATACATTCCGTTCAAAAATATGGAACGTGCATACCTTAAAGCTCCCGAGATATTGGTGTTACCTAGGAGATTTTTATGTTTTATTTTAAACTATTTTCAATGAAAAATGTTTTATTTGAAAAAGGATGTATTGAAAGTATTAAACATAACCTCCAACATATGGCATCTGATCAATAATTGTCATAAGCAAATTTTGGTCAGAGGTTAACGACGAGTTTGTTTGCTTATTGATCCTTGTAGAAAATGTCGTGATTCCAACTTGTAAATTTCTGGTTTGCATGGGCAACAATGCTACAACATCTTTTAAAAAACTTTTCATAATATTCCAGTTACAGTCTGGATGGTCAATATCATTTGATTCGCATACGCTATAGGAAGAATCTACCAAAAACATTATTTGCTTTTTTACATCCTTGCAACTTTGTGCTTCTGTTAATTCTTTTTTTACTGTTTTTGAAAATTATTTTATTCTTAAAACAATGGTTGAATGAAATTATTAATAACTGCTTACTTACCAGTAAATAAAATAACTATCAGCAAAATTAAACGTTTATATCTCCTCATATTTTAACTTGATAAAACTCAACTTTTTAATAACAAGTTGCAAATTATAGTGTTAAACCAAGTTACAAATTCTTCAATAACAAAGCAATGCAGGTCACATTAATTTACAAGTCATGAATACAAGTTTGAAGAAGCAAAGCATTGTGTCAAATCAAGGCCTTATATTTCAAAATTGCTATAACGGCTAATTAAAAGCGTACAATTGATTTCTGAATAGATTAATTCATTGAAATCCCATTAAAATTAATTTATTCCCTTTTCATATTTTTGAAAATTTTGTGTTGGTAATAAGGTAATAATCGGTTGCTTTGCTAACACATTTGATACTGTTCGTTAATATATATATATATATATATATATATATATATATATATATATATATATATATGTTCGGTTGAAGATTACACCCCATTTTACAGTTAGAAGTTTTTTAAATAAAATTTCAACAACACGAAGCTGTTTTGTTTCAGCTTTATTAAACTGTGAAGTTTGGCTGACGGCCGTTTTGGCTAATGCCATCGTCGGAGCCTAGATTGTAAAACCAAATGAGGAACCGAACATGTTTATCTGAGAACCTCATACCAAATTATATATATATATATATATATATATATATATATATATATATATATATATATGTATGTATGTATATATAATTTAAAATTACTATTTAATCTTTAAACCGCTTGTTTAATTCAAAATGTTTTAATTTTTCTGACATTATCAACTCTACGCTTATATTTATATATTTTTTTTTTCCAAATTTTATTTGACATTCAGGCAATCAAGAAGTTAAGAATAAACTTGTGCTGATTCCCTTAAACAAATGAGCAAAGAACACATAGACTTATCAATAAGAAACTGAGTGGTTATTGTTAATATCAACAATAAACTCATATCCTAAAATTGACAAATAGAATAAATTGCAGTACCAATTTAATCAAGCGAACTAAAAAAAACTAAATTCAACAAAATCAACGAAAAAAATGAAACATTTCTAGCATAATAGTAATAACAAACACATATATTAGATGAACAAGATTTATAAATTAAATCATTGCAGACTAGCTGTGCTGAGTAGACTCTTTTTTACAAAACATTTAAAGTTATTAATAAACATTACTAAGACTTGGTCACTGACGATAGTTTTCCATAATTTAATGCCGCGTATAGACCAATTTCGATCATTTGTTACGGTCCTACTTTTCATGGAACCCATCATACCGTTTTGTCTACTTGATGAAGATAAATATGCGAAAGTGTTTAAGAATCTGTAGTTTTCGTAATGGGTCACTTTATACATAAAAATAAGAATGACATATTTGTTGATTTGTTCAATGTTAAGTATTTTATAATTAAAAAATAAGAGTTCTGTGTGATCACACCTATATAAATAAAAGCAGACACCAAAAATATTTCTATAGTACTCGTAATTTATTAGTTAAATATTTAAATGTTTATCCATGTTTATCCATGTTGTCATAAATGAAATATGAATAGAAAAACGCATAATAGATCATTATCATAGTGTTTGGTGCTAATCTATTCCCCAATTTGTATACAATGCCAATAACTTTGTATAATTTACTGATGACAATATTTACGTGTTGAGTCCAATTCAATTCGATTTGTGTGATAATTCCAAGGAATTTTGTGGAGTGAACACAAGGTAGCGCAGTATTACCAATTCTTATTGTTAAATTTTCAAATATGTTATTGTTAGTCTTAATTTTCGGTCCGAAAATGATGAACATGATTTTTTTCACATTTAAAACCATTTTGTTCAATCTAAAATAATCATAAAATTTAACAAGCTCTGTATTCATTTCTCTAAACAACACTCATGGATCTTTACCAGACAAAAATATATTGGTATCGTCTGCAAATAGTACCGTAGTACAACGATCAGACACGAAAATAATATCATTCACGAACAGAATGAATAATAATGGTCTCAAGATCGACCCTTGGGGGACACCAGTTTTGATAAGTGGCAATGAGGATTCAACATTTTCGACGGAAACAAACTTTTTTCGATCGTATAAATATGATCTGAACCATTTAGAAGCTATGCTTCGGAATCCGTAATTGGACAACTTAATTTGTTTTAATAAATCTAAACATTCTATTACTATTCCTCCTATTATCTTACCTGATTTTAAAACTCTTCACGTTTCTCACAAGTTTTGTAGTCTAGGCATTATCTTTGATTCTATGTCTCTTTCTTCTCAGATTGTGTTGCTAGAAGTTTTACTTTCATCTACGTAGAATAAAAAAACTTTTGCCTTTTCTTGATGATCCTACTCTTCTCCTTCTTGTTACTTCGTTAGTTTTATCTATGATTGATTATTGTAACTCGCTGATTCTATACTCTATCCTTTAAGCAAAGCTTTTAACTCAGCTGCTCGTCTAGTTGCTCGTGCCCCGTTCTTTTCTCATATATCTCCATATCTTGTTTTCTTGCACATTTGATATATTTATATATGTATATGCATGCATATATAGAATGCAGGAGATGTATTTTACGTATACGTATGACCATATAAATAGAATATGACATCGATGTCATTAAAAATCAAACCCATCACTTTTGTTCAAGGTTACTTAAATTTATAACTTAAATTCTTATTTAAACATTCACATGTTTTCGCTCAAGTGAGCGCTTTTTCTGACTGAATAGCAGTTGTCTCATTTTAATAACATTAGATTAGATTAATTAGTTGCACAATAAATCTCGTTGAAAATGGATTCTCCATTGGGTAATCTTAGCGGGGCGGGCAAACTTGATAGCAATCAGAAACAACAACTCATGGAACAAGTAAAAGCCCAAATCGCTGTTGCAAACGCCCAAGAACTTCTGCAGGTTCGTTCTGATCGTGTATTCTGATTTTTCGTGACTTCCGTAGAATAAAAATTTGGCTGACGTTCAATTAAAATATTTAATAAAATAACAAACTTATTACATATTATGATCTAATGATTTTACTAAAATAAAATCATTAACATTTAGAAAATCTAAATTTTAGATTAACAGGAGATAAAAAACCAATTAACCAAAAAATGATGAACAAAATAAAAATTTAATAAATAAATGAAATAAAGCAATTTAAATTTAATTAATTTATTTACTTTAATTTAAAAAAATAGTAATGGTAAGTTACTAAGGGTAAACTTTACAAACTAAACAAACTTTTAGTCTAATCTAATTGCAAATGTGACCTCTGAATTTATATTTTTTTATGTTTTATACTTTAAAGTTTAAACTTAACTTTATTAATAAAATTAATATTAAACTCATAATCCATTCTATTCTTTTTTACAAAGTAGTCTTCTACTTTTAAAAATAAGTGTGTCACTACTAAAGGAAAGAAAGACTATCACTATTATTAATTTAAATTATCAATAATTATTTATAATAATTATTGAAGCAGGCTAAGTGATCATCTCGTTTTTACTCATTATTATATTACATGTTAAAAATTAAATTAATATCATTGTTTAATTTAATTATACACTTTTTTTAAACAGAAAATGTCTGATAAATGTTTTAAAAAGTGCATACCAAAACCAGGAAGTGGTTTGGATAATTCAGAACAGGTAATTAGATTCAATATTTATTTTGTCATCCTCAAAATAACCATAATTTAGCTTTGAATTTCGTTCACTTAATCACAACTTGAACAATTACTAGCAACAATGTGCTATACAATGAATTTTTATTTCTCAAGTCATTAGTATTCAACAATAATGAACAACTTTTGTAAAGTGGAGCAACCATTTTCATAGCCTAAATTTTTTAATCTTCAAAATATCCTGAACTTACATAAGAAAAATACACTTTTAAGTTGTAGGTTCAAGTTTAACATTTTAGGATCACAGTAATTAGATGCTCTTTTGACTTTATCTCAATTGCTAAGAGATGGAAAATTAAATTTTTCATCATATCAACACTCCTGCTGAGCAAAATGTCTAGTTTTTCAAAGAATGGCAACCAGTTTTTTCTACATATAATCTTCTGGGCTCAGCTGTTTGTTTGGATAAACAAATGTCTGAACCCAAAGATAAAAGTAAGATCAAACTACACTGTGATTAACCCTATCTTGCAGTTTTTTTAACAAATTTTCATCACAAAGTATGTGAAATGTAGATTTTATTTGTTATGCAAGTACATGCTATCCAATTGTTTTCATTAATTTGGAAAATTTTTTCATCACAGAAATGCATAGCAATGTGTATGGACCGTTACATGGATACATGGAACATTGTGAGTAAAACGTACACACAGAGGTTGCAGAAAGAAAAGAGCAAGATGGGTTTATGACACTATCAATGCATTTTAAAGTCAACAACTTTTGGAATTTCATACAATCTTTTATAAAACGAGTGTTTTTTATATACTTTTAAAATAAAAAATTCAAACTAAAACGCTAGTCTAATTAAACTTTTCATTTCTTGGAAATATTTAATGGTTGAGTTTATTGACGCCAGACCACAAACTTAGACAAAGAAATATATGCAAACTACTGCAAACTACAATATAATCAATCAGCCGTGATTTAATAAAAACAATGGCAATAAAACCAAATAAAAGTTGGTTGAATTTTTTTTATTCTCTGAAAAATCAGAATCCGACAAATGCAGAAACCGTTGCAGTGCACAAGTTGCTAGTATAAAATGAGCTATATATAAAAATCATTATATATAGATATAAACTATATCATTTTTTATTTATTTTAATTATATATTAAAATTGATTGAATATTCAAATACATATAAGTTTATGTGATAAAATACTTTGGTTATTTTTCAACCCATCCAATGGAGTAAAATGTAAGTAAAATAAGGCAAATATTTTAAAATTCCATCCCATTAAAAATGATCAGGTAATGCATTGGACTATGCTGTTAGGTGGTGGCCTGTAATCATCAATAACAATTCTTGGTTTGTTTCCAGTGAGAAGTATAATAATATGTTTATAATCCTTTGAGAGAGTTACATTAACAGGCTTCTCCATGTAGCATTCAAAGTCTGCAAGTGTCCTGATGAATTTACCACACTTGCTAAAAAGTTTGACACATCTATTTCCCGAGTCCGCAACTATGATATTGTTGTGTTGATCACTACACAGACCTGCAGGCTCGAATAAACAATCTTTGCATGTACCCATATGTCCTATAGATGTCTATAAAATTTGAACATATATGTGGATATATTATTTAACATATTTATTTATTTATTTCATATTATTTACATTTACCAAATAAAATATTACCTTTAGTTTTCCATTTCTGTTGAGGATTTTTATACAATGATTTAACTTGTCTGAAACTATTATATCATTGAGCTGATTGGAGCACAAGTTAAATGGGTGACCCAGAAGTGCCTTGCCAGTAATTTTTTTCAGCAGTTTACCATGTTCATCTAGGACATACAAACTGCTAGTTTCAACGGCAGAAACAACATACTGCATTGGTTCTTTTAAAACTGTTACCCCATATGTTGCTTCCATCTTGTTCAGAGTTGTCTTGATCCCACATCTTTGCCCTGTTAGATTGAATTCCAACAATAAAGGTTGGCCGATCTGCATGTTGGTAACCAGAAGAGTATTGCTGAAAGAAGTTGTACATGAATATATTTTTTCTTTGCATAAAAAACAAGAAACAAGTTTATATTTCATATCAAAAATTATGATCCTTGAATCATATTTATCAGATACCACAATTAAATTATTTTGTGTGCATGAAAGTCCTTGAGGATCCTTTAATCTTGAAATGGGTGTTGTGCTTGATTGGACTGAAGCAGTTGTTTTTATGTTTTCTATATCATTATCTGAATGCCTTGGAGACATGTTAAGGAGGGGATGAAACTCATTAATTCCACCTGAAGGTATTGTTATTCCAACATGGCAAGTAGGACAAGGAAAGAAGCCAAACACATCATAGCCTCGGCTGGTTACATACTCTCTTATGCACTCCTCACAAAATGTATGACTGCATGGCAGCACTTTGGGATTATCAAAACATTTCCTGCATATTAAACAACTTGGCTTGAAACTTGGTAACAAAGTATTTTGATTTAAACTCATTTCAATTTTTACATTGGGATTCTGAGCTTATTTCTATTCCTGAAAAAAAATCAACTGATATTAAAAAAATTATTAATTTTACATATACTGTAATTATAATGCATAAATATATATAATTATAATTTAGTAAAATTATGTCATACATTTGTTATTTGATTAATATAGTAATATAGCATTACAATTATTATCATTTATGAAATAGCTAAGCCAGCACTTTCATAAGCATAAACAGTGTTTATCTGTGTTTATTAAACCACAGAGATAACATTGTTAGCCTTCTAAATGCATTTTAGTCAGTGAGTGGAGTGGGGGTGTCGTTTATATTACAAAAACTGTCTTTACATTGGGAAAATGTGTTTTAGTCACCATTAGTAAATAAAGTATTAATTAAATAAAAAAATTTAAATAAATTAATATTTAATATAAATTATAAATCAAATAACATGTTCAGTTACGTTAGTGATATTTGATCTAAAAAAATGTGAAAGTGAAGATAAAGGCAAGCAGAGATATTTTTATTGCAGTAGTTAGTATATTATTATTATTAAAATTTAAATAATTAACCTTTAAAAAAGTAATACTATTTATTAAAAACCCCACCCTAATTGGAAAAGAACTTTAATTAAACAAGAATTGACTTGATTTTGACTGAATTAATAATTATAATAAAACATGCCCACAAGGCACAAATTATTGTAAAACTTGAAAGTGCAGCTTCACTCATTTTATTTTTAATTTTTATTGTCACCACATCTAGTTGTAGTAGTAGCAGCATTATATTTACTTTACAAGAATTACACTTTTTTACAGCAAAGAAGACATGACGAAATGTATGCATCGTCATCATGTTAATGAATTAAAACATCAAAAAATTCACCCGGAACCCGACATTGACAGAATGGCCAGCAAGAAAAATTAAATCATCACTAATGAAAACAAAAATCGCGCTCATTTAGGACAAAACCAAAGATATTTAAATACAGATGTAAAAATTGTGTGCTCTCTTAATTTCATATTTTTATGGCTCTTTATTATATAATTAATCATTTTTTATAACTAAAAAACAAATAAATTGTATTTAAGTAATAACTAGAACAAAAATTATACACAAACGAAAAATGTTTACTATTGAGATATTGGAGATATCATTTAATAGTTAATCAGTTATTCAATCAACAACTTTGTAAAGCACAATTTCCCCGATGTTCAACAGTGCTCCCCAGTGAATTTTGCAAACAGATGGGTTTTGAGATCCGCTCTAAACATTGCAAGTGATGGAAAAATATAGTTAGAGAAGGAGGTAGATATTTCCAGAGAACCTGGTTTCATACCTGCTCACAGTCATGTCATGGATATATATATATATCCATGCTCACAGTACTGAAACTTCTTTACTCAAAATACATAAGTATATCCTTCTCTCTAGTAACAATAATGATCTTACTTTTCTTGCGCTAGACCGTTTCTCTGCTTTTAATACTGTTGATCATACTATTCTCTTGAAGCTGCTAGATCTTTTTTTTAATATTACTGATTCTTGTCTATCTTGGTTTTCTTCTTATCTCTGTAATCGTTTTTCCTGTTGTTCCCAATAATTTTATTTTAAACTCTTCTACTTTTACTTTCGGGGTACCTCAGGGTTCTATCCTTGGCCCTCTTCTATTTATACTCTATACCTCTGAACTACCGCGTATTATTAATAACTTTTCTTTCTCTGGTTAGCTATATGCTGATGATTCTTATATTTATACTTCTTTTCCTTCAAATAATCTCAATAGTGTTCTTCATAATCTATCTCTATGTCTTTCTTCAGTTATCGACTGGTCTGACTCTATGTGTCTTAAACTTAATCCTTCTAAATTTGAATTAATTTGTTTTAATAAATCTAAACACTCTATTACTATTCCTCCTATTATCTTACCTGATTCTAAAACTCTTGATGTTTTTCACAAGTTTCGTAGTCTAGGCTCTATCTTCGATTCCTATGTATTTTTCTTCTCAGATTAATAGTGTTGCTAGAAGTTCTTACTTTCATTTACGTAGAATAAACAAACTTCTGTCTTTACTTGACGATCCTACTCTTCTCCTTGTTACTTCGTTAGTCTTATCTAGGATTAATTATTGTAACTCGCTCTACTATGGTCTTCCTGATTCTACACTCTATCTTTTAAGCAAAGCTTTTATGCTGCTCGTCTAGTTGCTCGTGCCCCTTTCTTTTCTCATATATCTACATATCTTGTTCTCTTGTACTGGTAACCTAAAAAAAATGTGAAAATAAGGAGACGATGGTGAATCGGGGCGATTAGCTAAATATTTAAAAAATAATTTAGGTTGAGACTTGTACTACATTAACGTGCAAATTTTAAAAATTATTCTATATTCTATAGGTAGCCAGTGCAAAAAAACAAAATATGGAGATATATGAGAAAAGAAAGGGGCACGAACAGCAAAGTTAAAAGACTAGAGTTTAGCATCAGGAAGATCATAGTGAAGCGAGTTAGAATAAAAACTAATGAAGGACAAGTAGGAAAAGAGTTGGATCGTCAAGAAAAGGCAAAAGTTTTTTTATATTCTACTTAGATGAAAGTAAAAACTTCTAGCAACGCTATTAATCTGGGAAGAAATAGACATGCTAGTAACTGCAAAACAGCACCGAGCGACCTAAACCACTAGGACACTACGCCGCATATATATATATGTATATGTATATGTATGTATATATATATATATATATATATTTATTTATTTATTTATTTATATAGTTCATTATATATTTCAGTCTTCGGTGACAAAACTTACCTCCAAATATTAGTAATTAGTAACAAAATTTGCCACATTTTATAAGAACTTATTATCATTCCGTCCACATCAATTATTAATGACAAAAGTAGCGTCTATATATTTGTTCTATTGGTGCGGTAAAGCATTGTTTACAAAAACAAAACTTTTCTCTTGGTAAATAAATACAAATAAAATTCGAACAACTACAATTATTTTTTTTAAATGAAATTGTATTATAACCATAATATAATAGAACAAATGTTAAAGAGAACTTGAAATCATTTTTGTTATATGTGGGACAAATAAATTTATGACCGAAAATATTTATAAGCAACACGGATTTTTCAGCGCTACACGTGATTTTTCAGATTGTCTTAGCCGCCATAACGTTCGTTTCTTGTTGTCGTTCGTATTTTGAGCGGTCTAGAATCATGTCGGATAATTATGGTGTCAGTAAATATGGCAACAATTATAAAGTTTCTAGGAGTACGGCAAGGCCCTACGATAAAAATCAGGTAGTTTTGTAAATTTAATAAAAGATTATTTTTTCCTTGATTTCATTTCAATTTTGTTTTTTAATTAATTTCCTTTTGGTAAAGTATAAATTAAAAATAAATAAATATAAAATGTAAATTCAATTAAACAAACTGATGGAAATATCTGAATCTAACTAACTGCTGTGTGCTAACATCTGTCTGATCAAATCAAAATAAGTCTGCTTCTCTTTCTTGTAAATAAAATTAAAAAACTGCTCCCATGTTATCACTCATTCATGAATTATGTATATAAATATGCCATTTGAATTTATTATCTGTGTTTTTTGTTTTTATATATTTTTCAACTGGTATAATATAATTATAATCTATAATTATATAATATTTTATTATTACACTCTTGGGTGTCGCATTGGTTCCAAGAAAGAGATTTGTTATATATAGAAATTTTGTTATATATAGGATTTGTTTTGGAAAATTCTATATTAATGCTTAATATATATAAAAATAAATGAATATATATATATTATCAATAAATATAAATAAAATAAAATATATATATATTTATATATAAATACTTGAAAGGTGTTTATGTGCTATATATTTATGAAAATCAACCTCTTAACCATTTATATTTCTATAACAAAAAGTAATAATACATAGTATGACTGTAAAAAATGTGAAAAATAACATAATATTATACCGTATTTATTTTATATATATGTACTTACATTTTATGTATATAAAAAAATTATTAGAATACTAGATCAAGACAAATTAAATATGGCTCTAGGAAATTAAAGAAGTACCAATTCATAAAATATTTGCTTGTCGGATATTTTTTTTTTACTTTCATAAAATTTATTTGTTATAGATAGAGAAATTATTTTTGTTTTTTAGATACAGGAACATCATTTAATATGTAAAATTCCAAGGGACCTAAAAAAATTAAAGAAAGCTTTTTGTTGTATTTTTGTTGTTATAAGGAAGTCTAACTGTACAATCTTTTTTAAAAAATTATTGACCCTATGTTATAACTCATATATATATAATATATATAATTGCTAAAATATCATTAGAGATTAGATTAGGCTCGAATTATTTTCTATAATTAAATGTTAGTTAGCCCAAGGATAATGAAATAAATGTTTTTACATACATTTGATTTGCATACTTATTTATTTAATTTGCAAACAGATTTTTTTTCTAACAACTTATTTATTTTGC